ATTTTTTGTAATTTGGTCTAATTTAAAAGATTCTATCTATATTAATCAATATGTTTCAAAAGTAAGACTGACAACAACTTCAGACTGAAATAGAGTGTCGAGCAAGTGCTAGTTAGTTCCGGTAGTAAGTAGTATTCAATTATGATTCTAAAACGGCTGATAAAATATTAATTCATACATTCGTTCGAAACTACTGAAGTTACACTTGTAGTTATTTATAGGGTCGCATACAAGCAGCACTATTTAAGAGAAAATAGGATGATTCGTCCCCAAGTAGAAAATTATATTTTGAAATGTGAAATGTTCATTGAAGTCTTCATCTTCAGATTTCTGTTTCCTGTAGTTCCGCCTTTTTCGCGTGGAATTCTTAAGATTTAAATATGATTTTGTTTTATTTTAATTGCTGCTTTATTTAAGATCTGTCCCAAAAGGACAATTATCAAATTAGTTCACATGGCTGAAGTAGTAACATCTAAAATTCACGATTAAATGGGGCTTCAAAGATTAAAATGAAAAGTTATTTGGAAGGTGAAGGGGGCGCAATGTTTTGAGACGTCTGTGATTTCAAATTAAAGTGAAATTAAATGTAAATATGTGTGCAAACAATTTGTGTGTGTAACCATAGAGTATGGAAATAGTTGCCATTCATGTTGTGATATAGCATGATACTCTTCCATATGGCTCTTGTCTTTTGTCCTTGGAGCCCTCATTATTCTCTGAAACTGATATTAAATCTGCTGCTGTTCATTTTACATTCAATCTAGCTGGCAGCAATCTTTTTCAATCTTTTTCAATCTTTTTCAATCTTTTCAATGTGCTGTCAACACTTTTGGCTTTATCAGCACTGTGTGGCAGAAATAATTTGATTTGCCCCGCCCTCTGAGGCCGTGTGTGGCAGTGCGTGAATAGGTGGTGATGGGTGGTGATGGGTGGTGGTGCGGTGGCGGCTTTCATGCTAAATAGCTGCCAGTTTGTTGGTTTTGTGGCCGCGCATTTGTAATGTTTATGATGATGTTGTTGTTATTGTTGTCGTTGCCGCGAGTCTCGTGGCGGGCAAAAACTAATCAAAATTATTGCGTATGCGCCATGAGGGCCACGTGTCGGCGCAATTGTCAAATTGCTAGCTGTGTGTGTGTGTGCGATGGGTTGTGTGACTATGTATATGTATGTGTGTGTGTGTGTTGCCCTCGAAAGTATGCAACAGACTGTGTTCGCCTGCTCCTCCGGCGACTATTTATGAGACGCTTCTTCTTCTTGTCATGCATACACATGTGCACATTTAAATAAAAAAGCAGCTGCAGCACATGAATAATTAGACAAATATACTAAAGCCAACAAATGTGACAGTGAGCATAAAATGAGAAAGGAATAAATAATGGAAACAACACTCGAACAGCAATTCATTTCTCTTTCCATACTTATCTGTGAAGTAGAGCTGAATTGAACGCGAACTGCCTTAAACAAACTTCAACTTTAAACTACTTGTAAAACGAAAACGAAACAAAACAAAATATAAATAAATTACAAATATAAAAAGAAAACCGAACCAACTGCTTTATCGACCAAGAAACCAACAACACAAACAAAATGGCGTCCATTAACGCATAACTTTAGGCCATAAAGAGAAACAAAAACTGCAACACTGAAGCGAAGGCAAACTTCCAGCATGTCCATGGCGCTGTGCAATTTAAACGGCGGCATCGGAGGCGGCGGCGGCGGCGGCGGCGATGAGAACGCGCCTCCCTCAGTGGCCAGCACGGCCGCTGGTGTGGTCATCGAGGTGGCGAGCGAAGCCGCTGCTGCTCAGGAGAGCGCCGCCGAGGCAGCCAATGCAAGCACGCCCCTTCTGCTCGGCCACGAGCAGCCCCCAATGGTGGCTCCAGCTACAGGCACAGCCACCGGCACGGCCACCGCCTCCATCTCGACCCTCAACTCTGCGAATGCAGCGGCCGCTGCGGCCCTCCTCAATGGCAGCCATGCCTTGAACCACCATGCCAGTGTCGTCGGCATGACGCTGCCGGGCAGCCTGAATTTTGTGACGGGTGCCGCTGTTAGCGCCGGCAGCGGCGGCGGCGTCGGCGTTGGTGCCAGTGTCGGAGCTGTGGCTCCAGGCTCTGCCAACGACAACAACAACAACATGGACAATGCAAGCGACGACTCGAATGCGGTGACCATTTACAGGTAATGATGAATACCGCCCGGGGCTGATCAAGAAAGGCTGCACCCTCCTCCCGATACTCCGACCATTTGACATTCTCATACTAAATAATAATAATGGAGGACATATCTAGGAAATTAACGCTAAAATCACAAGTATATCGGAATAGATAGATCAATTATTTCGTTCGAAAAATATTCATTTATTTAAGTCTTTCTCGACTTAATACAAGTATGTGCTTCGTTAGTTCTTCTAAAAATAATATAATAATTTCATTTTTATTTCGTATAATTTTCATACATTTATTTTAGTTTAATTTAAAATAATCTAAAATCCACTAGATAGAATCGTCCATTAAGTGAAAAACTTACAGAACTTAGAGAAAATCAAAAGAAGCCTTTCTTGAGATATCAAGATTTTGTAGCCAGTCCAGTCCTAGCCAAAATCTCTAAAGATTTCTGTATAATTTTCTGAAATATTTATGAACTGAATTTAAAGAAAAATTGCTATACTTTCAAAATATCGAATATTTTTGTTTTTATCAAGAAAAATATGTTAATGACCAGAGGTATTTCGCAAACCTCATGCTACTATTATATTTGACATTATAATACTTTCTCAGATCCCGAACAGAGGCTGTAAGGGCGATATGTACAAAATTAAATATAATTTTTTCGTTGCAAGTAAATATAAATGTCGGTGGCTTAAAAGGCAATAAAATATTTGAACAGTCGCATATATAGTTTTATGATTTCCTCCGATGACTAACTTAAGCGCTAATTATGAATGTGAAGTCTTGCTTTAAAGATACATTTCTTTGCTGACAGATTTCTGAACTGTTAATTTGTCAAAATTATCTAGCCATACAAGTTATTGGCGAAGTTTTGGCGTCTGTCCGTATAAACCCCTAGATCTCAGAGACTATAAGAGCTAGAGACGCAACATTTTGCACAAAGATGTCTTATGTGTATACGCTGTGCAAGTTTGTTTTATTTCTTTGATTCCTCCCCCACTTCCCCCCTATGGGGTTTTCCCGATTTTCCATACGAGACTTTAACAACTAAGGACACCAAATTTTAGTCCCACATGCCTTTTGTGAATACGCAGAAATCTTGTATTCTGGAATTTCTCTCCCCCCTCTCCCCTACAATCACTGATTTTCCATAACTTTCTTGGAATTTTGCACTAATGCCACGCCACTAAGGTATTGCAGAGCATTTTTTTTTTTTGCTGAGCATTAAATATTTTATCAACTTCTTTTTATTCTTAGTTGTAGATAACGAAAATTCGATTTGAATTTGGCTTAGAATATGTCGTGGCTTCGTCTATCAAAGAAATTTTAGTCAAGAGGCTATGGTGTTTTAGACTTCAGTTAGACTTCGACCAAGCTTCTAGTTTAAAATTTTTATTATTTTCATTTCTTTATATTTTGAATTTGCAGTTTTTGATTTTGAAATATTTTGTATTTTTTAATATATTTTTTTTTGTTTAACCGTTTTTTTTTATCTATGAGACCACTCTTACAGAAATTCTTAAAAACTGCAAGTAATTTTTTAAATGTCGGTAGCGCCGTGACAAAACCGAGTCATGCACTCAAGAACGAACTCAAACTGTGGGAGTCCCTTTGGCTCGTTGAGCTATGCCAGGCCTCAAGTTTCTAGTAACATTAGTATTGAACTTTTCAGCATTTAATGTGCAATGTGGTTGCTAAATATTTTCAATCCCCACAGTTCCTTAGAAATTGCTCAAAAAGTGGTAAAAAAAATAAAATAAAAAATAAAAATTAAATTCCTTAGACTTTTTGCAATGAGGACAAATATAGAACAACGTCCTGTTCCGTCTCTTCCACTCCAAGCACTGGCGATGTCAGCGAAACTTTTGTCAGAGCTGTGGGCGTCATAAAACCAGATTGGCACGCAGTTGCTTCAATATGCAAATGAGATTGCCACACCGACAAACAGGCAGAAATAGGGCCATGACAGAGTGAGAGAGAGAGAGAGAGAGGTGGGGGGGGGGGGGGGGCGAACTGAAGTTAACGCCTATCGCATGGCCACTCTAATTACGCCGCATAATGGTAATTGCCAGCGACATACTTACGCCTCTGAGAAGCTACGCCACGTTCTGCGTTCGCTCGAGTGCTGCAATTAGCCAGTTATCCGATTCAAAAAGCAAGCGTCAATATTTACTTAGCTCAGCTGCCTGGTTGTCCGCAACCTTAGCAAAGCCAACTCTGTCCTATCCTGTCCTGTCCACGTGGCCTTGTCATCTTCAGCACCTGTGAGGTCTTTATCGCCAAATTCTGTGGACGCGCGCACATGCTGAGACGTCATAAAAACAAAATACTCCGATAATCATAAAACAATTTTGAACAAAATATAAATTAAATTAATTACATATATGTATGTATATGAAATGCAATATTTTTCAATGTCTTGTCGCCGGCCAACCTATTTATTACTAATTTATTACTAGTAAAATATCCATTCTTTACTAAAAAGAAATGTAAGATTTTTTAAAACATAAACAAAATTACTTATTATTATGCGTAATTAAAAATAGATGTAATTAAAACAAAAAGTTTTTCTGTGCTTGCTATAATACTTGTATATTTGTTATGACGGCCGGATCGATCAGATATCTTACGAACTATATACTATACATATGTGGGTCGACATTTCTACGAATTTCTTTGGATGTTTGTAATTAATTAATTTTAAGCTACAAGTATTAACTACTAAGCCCTCCTCCACGTTCTTTCTGACGAGTTCTGGAGCACTGAGCTTAGTGTCAGGCCAATTAATTTCCTTGCACGATTTCTCAACACTGTTCCTTTTTCTTGCAGGTGCCGGGCCCCAATCGCTTCACTCGACTGCATGGAGGAGTTCAGTGGTACGGGCGGTCATCTTGATTTCGGTATCGAATTTCTCACTATCAAAATGGGTTTTTATCAGTTATTTGTTGTTGTTACTGTTGTTGTCATTATTATTAACATAGAAACATTTGCATGCATACTAGCGATGGGCGTGCGAAACAACTGTTTGAGTCACGCACATTCTGATTATCACGACGTGATCACAATCATGACAGTTGACATTATTGATATACATATGTATACTTAGTATGATCAGGCCATCAAAAATGTACACAAAATATTGTCAAGATTAAACCGTAAATGGTTGTTCTTGTTAAACGTTCTCTGAGGTTGTTCTTCGTCGAAACGATTATGGCCGATTTTAAATTCTTACTGTTTGTTCTCTAGGCTTCCTAAGCTTTTAAAATCCTTTTTATTTTAATTATTACGAAATTTAATTAGAATTCAATTCTTGGGACCTTAAAATTATACAAGAAATCAGCATATAACGTCTTCATATATTGCGACCGAGCTTCAAGTATTTATCTTTGAAATCAGACTTTAGTGAACTTTTCTTAACATTATTTTGTATTTTGTTAAAAAAGTTACTTTTTACCAAAGTTGTTCTTCGTGGAATCGAATCCGATCTGCACTTTTCAAACGCTTGGTGCGACCAGAGCTGCAACGAAAATAAGCACAAATCAAAAATCGTTCATATTCAAAAAAAGAAAAGCATTTTTTTAATTTTCGTCGTGGATTTGACGAAGTGTTTCGTATAAAAGTATTTCGCAAATAAAATACCACTCTGTACAAAAACAATTAAACAATTTTGTGCCAAAATAATGTTGTCTGCTTTAAAAAACAATTCCTGGTTATATTTTATTTATTTGTTTAAAGTTTGTAGCTTAGAATTAACCCTTAAATCACAAAATTTGCAGGCTGTCTTTGTTTTATTTTCCAATCAAGTTTCGAGTGTTTGTGCAAATTATTTGCATGTTCGATCATAGGAGGAATATGTTTAAATGCAGTGATTGCTCACGACTCACGACTCACGCTTAAGGTTCTTTGTTGTTGCGCTTCGAAAAGTTATGTACAGTCGACTCTCGTTTATTCGAAACTCGAGAGCTCTTACAATATTACGAATTAGCGAGAGTTTGAATTATCAAACGGTACGAAATTTGTGAGAGAAAATAAATAAAACGTCGAATTATGAAGCCTTGATCAATAATTATTTACAAGTATTAACTGCTATTCTATAACAATGTCAAAAGAGTAACAGTAACTGAATGATAACTAAACAAAGCAATTCCTGTGAAGTGCGTGTCAAATAGCCAAACTAATCATAACAAAAATAGTTACCGGGACGGATCTTCATTGATGACCGTTAGAAGTCAATTTTTGGATCTGCTTGGCAACGGGCGGGACTAGCATCTGCACGTTGATACATGTTTGAACTTGTCGCAAAATGTACATAAATGCAATATTTCCGCCTCTTTGAATTCTCGAGTGCTGGACGCCGCTGAGTTCCAATTAACGCGTCGTTTTGTTATATAGCAATGATTGCTTCCTTCGAATTACCAAGTGCATAAAAATTTATGGAGTTAGTTGGAAATATAAAGAGATTTTGAGAGATTTTTAGAGAGTTTCGAATTATCGCAGGATTTAATTAAGCAGAGTCGACTGTATCGAGCTCTCGTTCAAAACTGCTGCCCATCTCTAGTGTTTTCAATTGGTGCTTGACTTGTTGAAGTCGGTTCGCCGCCATTCGAATCAAATATGCGCAAATGATATTTTGGTTTTTACTTTTTTTTTTTGTTTTTTTCTTTCTTTCTTTTATTTTTGTTCTCGGCCATATGGGCTGGCCGTCAGAAATGCGTGCGTTTGCTTGAGTAATGTACAATTAACGTGACCATTTATTTATGCACAACGAGCGAGCAACTCACACACACACACACACAAATATATATGTATATATGTATGTACATAGCTATATACATATTTAAATATTGCTCTGTTGTTTGCACGCACAAAGCTCACGCACTTTTTTTACTGTTACCTTTCTTTTTAGTGCAAGTGCCTTGTTTTTTGTTGTTATTTATTTTTTGGCTGCCTGGTCTTTTTTATTACGTTTGGCCATGTTGCTATTGTTGTTGTTGTTGCCCCTTTTTGCACGTTCTGTTTGTTGTTGGGTGTATTTATTCTCCTTTGTGGCGAAAGGGCCGAAAAGGGTTTTCACTAAAAGACGCAAATTTTCACTGAACATTTTCACGCTGCTCGTCAACGACGCACAACGACGACAAAATTCGACATCGCCGACTTGTCATTGGATGGGACTGGGACTGGGACTGGTCTTGGATCTTGAATCTTGATGATGTACTTGGCCATACCGCTGGACACTCGAATGGGCGGTTCTGCAGGCCGTTCCATAAGCTTGGGCTCCAATCCGGCGCTGCCGCTGCGTCATGGCTCGACGCCGACGCCGGGCTTGCGATACAAGAATCTGGGCAAGAGCGGGTTGCGTGTCTCGAATGTGGGTCTGGGAACCTGGCCAGTCTTCTCACCCGGGGTCAGTGACGAGCAGGCCGAAGCCATATTGAAGCTGGCCATTGAGAGCGGCATTAATCTGTTCGATATCAGCGAGGCGCACTCGGAAACGGAGATCGGCAAGATACTGCAGCGTACGGGCTGGAAGCGAACGGCCTATGTCATCACGACGAAGGTTTATTGGAGCACCAAGTGAGTAGAATCGTTTTAGAATCCCCCTGTACGTCTGTTTCATGTTTGATTCCGCTAGGTCCGAGGAACGTGGTCTGTCGCGCAAGCACATCATCGAGTGCGTCCGGGCCAGTCTGCAACGACTGCAGCTCCAATACATTGATATTGTGATCATACACAAGGCAGACCCCATGTGCCCCATGGAGGGTAAGTACAAGGCATCAGGTCATCACTATGACTCACTTTTTTCGCAGCTCTAGGCTGGAAACTATAAACGTCACAGCTACATATATATGCTGCCAGATTATTACAAGTCAGATAATCTGAGCGTCAGATGCTTGGGCATTCGTTGTCTGGACGCCAGATATCTAGTCTACAGATAAAAACACTCAAGAAATGTGTGTGTCAGATGTCTACACATCAGATTTCTGAACGACAGATTTTGAACGTCAGATTTCTGAACGACAGATTTTTGAACGTCAGATTTCTGAACGTCAGATATCTATGTATATGTGCTACGCGTGCAACAAAGTTTATAAATAATATAGACTTATTGCAGATCCTATTAAATTCCCTTAGGTAGCACTAAACAAAGAACGAGCACAAAATTTGCGGATTTTTACTCTGAACAATAATGTTCTAGATTTTCCGTCTGCTTACTGATCACTGAAGATGTGTATTTTCTTGATGAACTTGAAAATATGATTTGATATGGAGACATAGCCATAAGGGGGCTCCCCTCAATAGAAAACCGAGTCTGTGTTACGATAAATATAGTATAGTATAGTTCCCTCAGAGATCATTCATATACAATTCTAAAATGCATAATATGGAGTGTGGTGGAGTAGCTTAGTGGGTAACTAACTCTCTGTCCCATCCAATCTCACGCAGAAGTGGTGCGCGCCATGAGCTACATTATACAACAAGGCTGGGCTATGTACTGGGGAACGGCGCGTTGGTCCCAAGTGGAGATTATGGAGGCGTACACCAACTGTCGGCAGTTCAACTGCATAACGCCGATTGTGGAGCAGTCCGAGTACCATATGTTTTGTCGCGAGAAGTGCGAGCTGTATCTGCCGGAGATGTACAACAAGATTGGTGTGGGGCTGATGGCCTGGGGACCTCTGTCGATGGCGCTGAGCGACACCCAGAATGGGGACAAGCTTTTTCTGCCAAAGGGCTCATTTAAGACGAAAAGCTTCTCCTGGACCGAGGATGAGATTAACCGGAACGTAAGTGGACTTTGTAAAATCTTCCCGCTTTACCCACTCACTCTCCCTTTCTCTCTCTCTCTCTCTCTCTCTCTCTCTCTCTCTCTCTTTTTGTGTTTTTCCCTCTTGTACAGGCTGCGTTGTCGCCTCAGGGCAGCTGGGGCAAGGATCGCATTGAGGAGGGACGGCGCCACTGCGATCGTTTGCGGGATCTGGCCGCTCTGGCCGAAAAGCTGGGCTGCAGTCCCACGCAGCTCTCGATTGCCTGGTCGCTGAAGCACGAGCCTGTGCAGTGCCTACTTTTGGGCGCCACCTCGGCGGAGCAACTGCATCAGAGCCTGCAATCGCTGCAGGTAAGTAGATAGCTGGATGCTTTGTAAAGAGAGCATCGAAGAGACCTAACGCATCGGTATTTGGATTGCAGTTACTGCCACGGCTGTCGTCGAGCGTGATGCTGGAATTGGAGCGGATACTGGAGAATAAACCGGTGCGACCGCCAATGATATCGACGCTGGCGCTTCGGTGACAATCAGCTTGCCCGCAGGGTCCGCTGAGCCTGAGCGGCGGCGGTCCCTGCGGCGCCGACTCGCCCAAGCATGAGGAGGAGGCCTTCATGGAGGAGGCGGATGCGAAGGACGCTGCCAAGCAGGGTTTCTGTGTTATTCAGTGACGAAAGGAGTCCTTAGATAATGATAATAAATTTTTGAAAGTGATTAGCAGTAAAACTAGCTTAAGTAGCAATACCATGACGACAACAATAAGCAAGCACGAGCTACAGCAGCAGCAGCAGCAGCAGCAACAGCAGCAGCAGCAACTCTCGCAGTTACAACACCAGCAACAGTTGCAGTCGACAACAACAACAACAACAACAACCACTATAACTACAGCTACAACAACAACAGTGAAGACAGTGCAGAGCGATGCATTAAATAATAATAATAACAACAACAACAATAGCAACAACAAGAACCACAACAACAAGAGCAACAACAATAGCAGCAGCAACAACAGCAGCAACAGCAGCAGCAACGGCAAGAACTCGCCCGAATCACCGGACGGCCAACCAAGACGTTCGCAAAAGCGTCGCTCGCTGCTCAACTTCAAGTCCTTGGACCTGCACATCAAGTCCCTCTACACTGGTATACGTGCCTCTCAGAAGACAGCCTCCCAATCGCGCTCCTCATCATTGGGCGGCGGCAACAATGCAACGCGAGCAGCAACAGCCGCGGCCTCAGCACCACCTGCCGGCCGCACACCCCCCTCCCTCACGGTCGAGACTGTCAATGGCGATGGCGATGGGACTGGGGCTGCAGATGGGGATGGGGAGGAGACCTCCAATCTACTGCTGGACTATCCGCAATCGCCGTACTCGTCGCGTCGCAACTCATCGCACGACGACCATCGCTCCAGCTCCCAGTTGCTGCACATGAGTCGTTACGAATACAGCACCCGCTCTCAAGCGAGCTCGCCGGCGCCCTACGCCCCGCCTTCGCCCTACTTTCTATCGCCCTATGTGGCAGCGGGCACCTCGACTGGACTGCTGACGCCATCGTCGGCGGAGACTGCCAACATTCGTCGCTCCTCTACCTCAGACATTGCTTCGTGCCGCAGAGGAGGGGTAAGTGCTGCTGGTGGTGGTGGCGGTGGCGGTGGTGGTGGTGCGGGGGGGTCGGGCGGTTCGGGCACTTCCAGCGACAGCCGGCGACCCAGCACTTCGGATCTGCTGCGTCGGGCGCGTGAGCGTCGTGGAAGCGAGGCACGCATGGGCCGCAGCGTCTCGCATAGCGGACTGACGAGGGGCGGCTTTAGAGGTGGTGGTGGTGGTGGGGGCGGACCTGGTGGTGGTAGTGGCATGGGCGGACGGCGTACAAGTATGGCCTTCTAGATACCCTCAACAATTTTCAATCCCCTACCAATCCCAACCGTACAAGCTACACTAAACTAGACTGCAGACTAAAAGATTCTTGATCAAGAAAGAGAAAAAAACTGAGGGTTTCTAGCGGATCGAGTTCAAAACATCTTGTGGCTTTGGGATGAATCGTACGTCTATCAAATGAGATGCTATGTTTCAAGGAGCCTTTAGTTGATAGCTCCCCATGTGCCATTGTCAATTGCAAAATACTAGACTTGTGGCCTTGGGTTGGGCTCCAATTGTTCAATTGTTCAGCCCTCACCTTTTATCGGAACTTTGAAAAGCCTTTATATACGACCTAAATAAGATGCTGCAGAAAGTTATCGATGTCCCCTCTAAGATCGCTGCAATATGTTTGAACAATCCTGAATGCTATATGCTGCCTGCTACTTCGTTCTCTGCACATCTCTATCTCTCTTTCTCGACAAGACATGTTTGAACTCACTTGAGAAAATAAATTGTTTTTTAAATAATAGCAACGCTCAGACTTAATATGCCCTTAAAAAAAATAGGAGGAAAGAAAAAATGCCTCAAAAGAAAAAAGAAAAAAATAGTACAACAAACACTTAGGCTCTCACTATCGTCTCCCAGCCTCTCTGGTGCTTGCGCTTTCAATTTTAAAACGGCCCTGACTTTGATGACAATATTAGATCCTAACTATTGTAGAACGACAGTCAAGTTGCGCTCCTCTTATCACTCACTACTAACTACTTCGTTCCCAGTCCTTTCTCTCCGACCACCCGCTCTCTCTCTCTCTCTGTCTCTCTCTCTACACAGCCACATACATAAAGGTTATGTGAACGCTCATATCAAGTTAGAAATGGAAACGGAAATGAAAGATATAAATACATACATAAAGAGAAACCCTAAGCGTAAATTGAATTAAGCAATTAATGAACTTAAAAAAGATGTTTAACAAAATTTACAAGTATATTCGAGTATATATACATACATATATACATACATATATGTATATATGTACATACTATGTGTGTATGTGAAGAAATGAAATAAACTTAACTAAGCATATAATGAACAAACTTTAATCAAATCTTATTATAGTTATTAGCATTAGATAACAAAAATTTAATACTAAAGTCAAGCAAATTTTTTTTAGCAAATGCAAAATGCAAAACCGAAAAAATTTAAGCAAAATGCCTTTCTCAAAAAATGTTTATATATGAATAGATATATAAATATATATATATATATATATATATATACATATACAAAAATTGAAGAGAATTGAATAAATATCTGTAAATATATGCAGAGGCGTAGCCATGAAAGGGCAGAAGTGGAACACACACTATCCGTTTATATACTTGCAGAACTGTACTGCCATATGTATTTCGATTCGTTTGCTAATATCTGAGCAACAAAAAAAAAAAACCCCCTTAGCTAAGCAGGTCAGAACTCGGGATGATAGAAATATAAATTATTGTGTTTTTTTAAAAGCCAAAAATCATTCACTAACACTTTGAGAAAACGAGAATTATACCAAAATCCTTCTTTCAGGATTATCTATGCATATTCACCAGAAATTACAAATTTTAATGTTTATTCATTCTCTTGCAATATAATGATTAATTTTGAGTTATGCTTTGCAACTCAAACAGTAATCATTATTTTTGAATAAAACTCGCAAAACCATGACTAGTCTTTGTTTTATTTTTTCGATCAAAAATAAAACTTGAAACCCTTTTAATGGAGAATAAGGACAAAACTCCTCAAACAATGACAAAAAATTAATAAAAAATAAAAATTTTAAGTATATTTAAGTGGATGTGTGATAGTTATTAAATATTTACTTACGTTTTAGCGAGTTGCAACATCAAGCTCTGGTTTCGGCAATCACAACTGTAATTAATTTTTTGCAATGAATATTTTTTTTAAAGGATTATTTTTTCACCCCAAAACTGTACTATCGGAGCTCGCTTCGGTGGCTATCGGCTATCGGTTTTATTTTTATTAAAAAAAAAATGATTATTGGTAAGGTTGTAAAGTATAACTCAAACATAATGATTATATTATAAGAGAATAAAAAAATCAAATTAAATGAATTGAAATTGGAAAATATACTGGTGAATAACTTGGCTATAAAAAAAAATTAAAAATAATAAAAAAATAAAAAAAAGACTGGTGTCGAGTTTGAGTTTTTTCGTAAAACATTCGGAATTTAGGCATTTTGTGACTTGTCCCTAAATTCTTCAAGTAACCGACCTAGTAAATAAAAACGTAATAGCAACCCACAATTTTTTTTATTTTTTTTGGCAATTGCGTTCTATTTTATAAACATATTTGTGCTTTCCTGGCTACACTGCTGCGTATTAAAAAGAAAAAAAAACAAAAATATGCAATAACATGAAACGGTTATTATTGCAATAAAGAAAATAATAATGGGGCTGCATGCATTTAAAGTGCTGGCAGGCCTCCTCACACACACACACAAACACACACACACACAAACACACACACACACAAACCTTCACATACACACATACTCGTGCACACAGCGCCCAGACATATGCAACAGCTTTCAACAATTACTCACAATTTTTTATCGCTTCGGCAAAAACAGAAAAGCTGATACACATATAACATACATACATACATATAAACATATATATATTTTGACATTCAAGTACATACATAAAGTCTTTCTCACATACGGACTGTGATTTCATGTAAAATAAAAAGAAATATATATATATACACACACATATATATATATATATAAATAAATTATATAAAATGTATAATTAAATGAATTAATGTTAAACATTCAGTTTGGTCAGATACATGCAGAACAAATATATACATACATACACTGCTGCATTAAAAATAGGCAAGTCGTCAAGCATTAGCATAAAACTGAGCTCCAACATTTGTAGGCTAGTCGACAAAAAAAAAAAACGAAAAACAAAAAGAAACCAAACGAATTCTTGAGCTAAACATAATTATAGGCAAGTTGCTAAAAAGAATTGACAAAACAAAAAGAAAAATAGAAACAAATTAAGATCAAGCATTTGTTGGCCTTCAAGAAACAAAAACTTAAGAAAAAAATACAAAGAATTAGTAATTAAGGCGGCATTTTCTTCAGCTGCTATTTCGCAGATCGCGCCTAATATCCACAAACTCACTGCTCAACAAAAACAAAAACAAAACGAAACGAAACGAAATCGCGCACTTTTTCATTCACAAACAAAACACAAAACATTTAAAGGATTGCGTTTTTTGTAGTTTAAATCCGTCCTCACCAAATGGCGATTGGCATGTGTTGCAAATTGGCAACAGGGCATGGGGGAGAGGGGCTATTGCTGAGCCAGGCGAGGAAAACGAAAACGTTTGCCAACCACATGGAAACCCCAAACATATGTATGTATGCAATGGAAAGCAATAAAAATCGGTACTGAAAAGTAATACTAGAGAAGCGATACCAAACAAATTTATAGAATTATACTCGTAAAGGAAACAAAATAAGAAACAAATTTTCGCTCGAACATAACATTTTTCTTGTTTTTTTTTTTTGTTAGTTAATGTACTTGATACTAGCTAGATAATTGTAAAAGAGATATAATATTAAAGCAATTAATACTGATACCAAATATAAAATGCCAACTATAGCGATCAAAGAAGAATGAAGAGGCGCAGGAGAAGCTATATAGAGCGCAGATGTGGTGCGAGCAATCTAGTCTACAAATTTACTTTATGTAAGAAAGTTATTTAAATGATTATGAAAATAAACACAACAATAATACTATTACTATAATATTGTAAACACAATAACAAGCTGACGAGCATTAATTGAACAAGTTGAGAGAAAAAGTATAATAAAGTAAAGGACAAGTAACCAGAATACAAAAGGAATATGCATAAGAAAACGCATAATGTCTTAAAATATTTTCTTATCGAAACTGGCAATAATAATTGTAGTTATATACATACATATTTGCAAAAGAAAACAAAACCAAAAACAAAGTACGATCCGGGGTGGTGACATTTAATAAATATAACTAACAATTAATTAAACAACTAATTATTAATGAAACGTATTTATTACAGCCAATTTTAAAACAAAACAAACATTTTTACAATTTAAACAAAAATACGAAATTATAAACTAGCAATGTGAAAAATTGAAAATTGAAAATTGACGAACGGCACACGATCCGCAACTGAAATTAGGAGTGGCTAGTCAATAGAAATCGAAGCAAAGGCATATTAAACACAATTTAAAGAGCAAACGCTATAATATTTTCAGCATGAACGCAAACTCAAAATAAAATCAAACAGTAAATACTTAATTAAACACATTTACAAGCATATACGCAATGCAAGTCACATACGAGTATAATGAATTTCTCATAAATATGCATAAGAACAAAATGAAAATGAAAATGAATATTTAATGTTGCTTTAAGCTGCAGCCTAACAGCCTAACAGCCTAAAAGATACAAGCAAGACACGAATAAATTTTTGCTCAGTAATCACTTAAGCTACTTATATATACATACCCTACATACATACTTACAGATATAATTTCGATGCCCTACAGCAGTAAATGAAAGAAGACGAACGATAGTTGATTTACTAATATATTTTAGTTGATTTGTTGTTTTGTTTTTTAAATCTAATAGCTAAAATCTATCAAAGAACAACAGCAAATTTGTTTAACACCTTAAAACTTCATTCAAATAATTCAGCAAACTAAATGGTTATAACAACAACAACAACAGCAACAACTACTCAGCTAACAATACTGAAAACTTATATAAAAATAAAACTCTTATCTTTCACTTAAAAAGTAAACATTATAACAACAAACACCCAACGGTCTTTTTAATTATTCTGAAACGTTACTTCCATCGTCTTGGCATCACTTTTCCACCGTTTGGCAGCACTTAGCCACCATAGCGTTTCGATTGCTCTGCTGTCTATCGGTGGTATCATCATTCTAGCGTTTACAACGCGCTAGCTGGCAACGCCAATTGCTGCTGACGGGAAGGGTCCGCAAAACAATTTTATTATTGCTTATAGTGCGTATTTTTATGTTTTTAACATCGGATCGGCACAACTGGGAGTGCATTAGTGGAAGAGCGGCGTGGCTGAGGGTGTAGACAATTAATTCTTTCGTGTGCGTGCGATTTTAAGGCGTGCAGGTGTTGGCCGAAGGAACCAAATACCTTGTGGGCTGTTATTTTTTTTTTGTTGTTTTTTTTTTCTCTGTGCGAAGTATTTGAGAGGCCGAGACACGGAGCGCACATTCCTGGGCGCAGGGCGTGGTGCTCCAGATTTGTTTACATTGCGAGCACCATGGACCACAACGACAAGGCACCGCTCACTGTTATTGACAAGTTGCGCCGTTTTTGTTACATCGGCAAGCACGACGAGCCCGTCTATGTGCCCACAACTTTTGATCTCACCGCGAAGTTCATTTACGAGGGGCTGCACAGCCTGTGTCGTGAGGCTAGCGGGTCCGAGATGCTGGACTGCTTGAGCAGCGTGCTGGCCGCGTCCAATGCTGAGCATTTGCCGCGCACCGATGAGTCGATGCTCGTCCTGGCCGTCTATCTGTCAAGTAAGAAGGATGAAAAGGAGCGCACCCTTGTGCGCGCCCATTTCCCGAGTCTGGTGCGCGCTGACCATGATCTGTTCCTGTTCGTGAAGCTTACAAAGGAAATACAGAAGCTGCGCAATCTTCGCTCTCCCCTCAGTCACACCGTCTGCAAGGCTGTCATCGCTTGGTACAGGGAGCAGCCGCTCGATCGTCTGCTGCACATGTGGTCTGTGGCCAGCGAAGCGGTCCGCGAGGAGCATCGCAGTTTGCTATATCGCTGCCACTACACAGACAAGGAGTTCGATGCACAAATTAAGGCGGCACTGAGTCTGTTCTTTACACGCCCAGCGGACATTCTCAAATGGCCCACCGCTCTGAGTCCTGTGATGTCCTGCAAAAGCATCATTATGGGCATTGCGAAAGTGCGTCTTGTAAACAGTGCAAAGGACGCACTTCCTTTAATAAGCGAACATTCTCTAAGTTACGAGCATGTACCCAGAAATGTGGTCAAAAGCTCTGAACTGGTCACCGCTCTGCTGCCTACAATGAGCTACGAACACCTGTTCCATAGCTTTCCGAAATTTAGGCGTTTTTACATGCCTCATAAGTTCACGAATTCGGACTACGTGCGCCAGTTGTTCGATGAGGCCAAACTGCGTGCCAGCAATATGCAGCCCATTCGCTTTCTGCTGAAGGGAAAACGCGAGGCTAATGCCAAATGGCTGGTGAGTGCACATAGTTATATATACCATATAATTTGATTGTTCATAAAGGCTTATCTCCTCGCTTCTCAGCGTGGTGTAAACAGGCCGCCCTGCTCCAGGACACACAACCTAATGCAGAGTCTATTAAAAAAATCGTTTGGGCTCAACAAACCGCTTGGCCTGCGCATCCATGTGACGCTCAATCTGGAGTCTACCTATTTAAGAAGTGAGTATAATTAGTCTGGCTACCACTAGCCTATCTCTTATCTGATGGAGGCCGTTGAGGAGCTCTAATAAGAGCTATCAATTATTTATTTATTTACTACAGTCAACATATGTATAAAAACAAAGTAAATGCTAACTAGAAATTGATTAGATCTCTCTGTATGTACAGGATAATGAGTCCTACATTTATAAAAATATTTAGTCAATAACTTAATTTATAATGTGTACCTAATGAAGGTCGAAGGGAATTCTAGTGAATTGAATTTGAGTTCAGTATGTCGAAAATTATCTTTGCATAACATCTTATCGAGATTTACAAGTTGGTACCATTTGAGGTTGGAGGACTTAATTCAATGCCTTTTAATATGTTGAAGTCTTTAATATAATTTTTAATGTCCCTTGAGTTGAAGTTCGTCGTTTATATCCACGGCTAGATGTATAACTCTTTTAGCTCTCATTGTCAGCAAGTTTGTAACGCTTAATGTTTAGATGGTTTGGTATTCACATTTGCTTAAACTTACGGCACTTCAGGCCCTGCGTCGATGTTGAACGATAATTAGAAAGCCTAGAAGAGGCTTGTAGGGAATTGCACGTTCTTAGAAAAAGTATTTTCTTGTTGTTGTGAATAGAAATTCCCGATCTGGTTGATAAGAAACTGCTGTAACTTTGAAAGAGATATGCGAACTGACTAATTTATACATATATACTATATTTTCTGCTTTTACAGAATCTCTTAATGGACGCTGGCGCTCCATTGGCTATCTCGATACTATCGTTGCACTGTCCTTTGGCTACTACAAGTCCGAGGAGCAAGTGGATGTTCACTACTGGGCTAACAAAGAAGGGCAACTCAAAAAGTTAAACTGGACCAAGGAGATGTCTATGGACGAGGCCAAAGACGATTGTGAGGCAGTGGAGGTGCGAGGAACGAAATTATCACAATTAGAAGCCAAGTTTTTGCTAATTGCCAGCGTTCATGTCTTGCAGGTTTCTAAATCGAAGCAGTCGCTACTGAGCATCCTGGATAGTGCGTTGATGGATAAGAACAACACTTACGATTTATTTCTTGTGCTTGTGCCGGCTGCCACACGCGGTAATCCGCACAATAGTGCGAACGAGCTGGTGGATAAGCTAGATAAGTATCGCGATGTGTTCCATGTGGATTCGAAGTGAGTGTTTACTTCCTTTTTTGCTATTGGCTCTCTCTCTATCTCTCTCTTTCTCTCTCTCTCTTTCTCTCTTGGCAGGTTTGTTATTGTGAGCCTACGTCAGCAGCATGGTTCCATGAAATACGGAAATAAAAGGAGGGAAAACATATTAGAGCTGTGCAACCTCAGCGAATTGACGCCAAATATTATAAACGCGTTTGCACTCGGCAAATTTCAGTAAAAAAGAAAAAGGGGAGCCTTTAACAACCCTAAGGGCGACAACAAACCAGTGTCAGGTACACATCTTAAATACTATGCAGGCACATCTTTCGTGTATTCATCCATCCATCCATCCATCTCCCACAATCATTTCACGCATCTCATCCTCATCGCGTTAGCATATTTTTCTATATTTTTGTCTGAACGTTAGAATAACGTTTGTTGCTCTCCCCTTCCCAAAGTTTTGAATACCTACACGCTGGTTGTTACTAGCTACTCTAGCCTTTTAAGTATTTGACAGCATGAGCTGCAATTTAAATAAGACGCGGCCGCTGCTCTTAAAACAATTCCAAAAAAAAAAAAATTGAATTAACTCTAACATAAACGTTTCTAGTTTATAAGCTGATTAGCGGAGAACCATAAACAGCAATCAGACACACACACATACACACACACACATACACACACTATATACACAGAATCTAAAGACGCTCACAATCATAATACACATTGAAATATTTACAAACGCTCATTTTGTAAAGATTTGTACTCTGTGTGTAAATTGTATTCTCAATTGTATTTGTATTAGTCGTGCTAAATGGTTTTATTTTTTTAAATCAAACGAACTGAACTGAATCTAAATTAAATTTGGATTAAAAACAATGTAAAAGAATCAGAAAAAGCAAAGCGATAAACAAAAAACAAAAATGCCTTACAACAAATTGTTAGTAAAAAAGATAAACAAAACAAGAAAACTTTAATTTTAGCAAAAGAAACAAACAAACAAACAAACAAATGAAAAAAAAATGTAAACGAAAACAAAAAAAAAGAGGAGAGAAACTTGTAACGAGGAATTTCGACAAAAGTACTGAGAAACGAAACAAAAACAACAAACAATGGGAAAACACAGCATTTAGATGAAATATTTAAACGAAACAAATAAAAATAGTTCAAGCAAACAATAAGATTACCGAAACAATACAAATAATTGACGAAATGAAAGCGAAGCATTGTTAAAAAAACCCCCTACGTTTTGTGTTATTGTTTAAATATATGTACATGAATACTGCCTAAATCTGTGACATTCGGTGTAATCTAAAGTTAGAGCTAAACTAAAAACAAATTCAAAATGGACAGTCAGTCAACAATGTCCAATAAATAGTCTCAAGCGTACAATAAAAAGCAACTTAAACATTCGAAACAGCAAGCAACTCCCAATGTGCCATTCAACCCACACACACACACACACACATTTACAGCCACAACTTCTCACACAACACCTATACATACATAGATAAATGTATGTATAACACTAAATAGCCGAATATTAAGCAGCAACAAATTTGAAAACACGAAAAAAAAACAAGCAAAATTAGTTAAGAGGAATTATAATTAGAAGTGAAATTGTATACAAAAAATCGAAGAAACAAAACTAAACTAATATGATTAATGACAATTCGATTGAAAAACGAAACAAAACTATATAGCAAAAAAGAGAGACAAAAACAAAAGATGGTAAACAAAAATATTTGTACGGACATTTTTCAAAAATGTTTCCAGACGAATCTGTGAAATAAACCGTTGTGATCGCCTTTAATTTTTTATTTCAAAACGAAATCAAAAACGTAACGAAACACAATTAATGCAATTGATTTCTAGTGGAAATTCAAGCAAACTGAGAAATATGGACAAACAAATTTCAAGTACCTATACACAAAAGAAAAAAAAGAAAACATAAACGAAAACGAAAACTATGGAAGCAGCAATCGAAAGACGTAACATCAGAAACCAAAATTCTAGAATTTATTACTAATCACACACAAACATACAAACCCAATTCATACACACACACGCACACACAACATATAGTTGATATATGTGTGTATGTAAATCAATCAATCAATCGTATATTAATGTAAATTAAAAGCATTGTTTAAGTCTTTATTGTTTTCAAACAAAAAGGAGGAAAATTAAGATGAAGAAGGAAATAAATTAGAGTACAATATGTGTGGAAGGCAACAAAGCAACAGCAACACAAACACAAACTGCAACAAAATTAGCAAAATTGTAAAAGGATACGAATGTATCCGCAGAAGCAGCAGCAGCAACAACAACAACAACAACAAGAAAAACTTTATGTGATATCTATTTCAAAAATAAGCGAATTACAAAAAAAGATAAAACGAAACTAAGACAAAAAGAAAATAAAATACAAACAAACAAAAGAAAAAAAAACGCAAAACCTAATGAAAATAAAACCAACTACATAGTAAAATTCAAGAAATTAAGCGCATAATCCTACAGCAACAACAATAAATTGTAAACCGATAAAAACCAAAACAGAAACAAAGAACAACTTTCAATTGTCATGAACGAAATGAAATGTCATACGAAACGAATTGAAGCTAAAAAAAAAAAAAAATTCATTTTGCTTTTGTCGTTATCTGTTACTTAAATTATAATTTCTTTATGAAATTGAAGAACATTTTTATACCCTGTACCCAAAAGGGTACAAGGGTATATTAGTTTTGTGCGAGTGCACATGGAACACACAGAAGGAGGCTTGGTAGACCCCACAAAGTATATATATTCTTGATCAGCATGACAAGCCGAGTCGATATAGCCATGTCCGTCTGTCCGTCTGTCCGTCTGTCTGTCCGTCTGTCCGTCTGTCTGTCTGTATGAACGCAAGGATCTCCGAAAGTATAAGAGCTAGAATAACCAAACTTGGTATACAGATTCTCCTGAGACCGAGAAAGGACGAGTTTGTTCATTTTTTCTGATCCACCCCCCCACTCCCCCCCTATTAACGATTTTCTATAACTTCCGTAATTCTTGGAATTTTGAACTAAAATTTGGTAGTCACATTAGGTTAGTTATTATATAACCGTATACCAAGTCTCATTATGATAGAATGATCGGAAAGAAAGTTATAGCCATATAACCAGGCCCAATGCACACATACATACATATGTACAAGTACACAAACACGCATAAGGCACGATTCTGATGTAAATGTAAATGTATGTATGCATGCATGGAATATTTTATATTTAATTTAGTTAATTAATTAAATTAATTTAGTTAATTAATTAAATTTAATTAATTAATTAATTTAATTACTTTTTTGTGGGGTGGTACAGGGTATTTAAGAGTTGAGCCTGCTCGACTTTAGCATTCCTTTCTTGTTTGATATATTTTGTAAGTTTTCAATGCTCGAGGGTTAACTGATAATTTCCAAAATCTTGAATATATTTAATAATAATAATAATAATAATGTAGTTCATAGCTAATGTTACAAAGAATGCGAATGAATCGAAGCACATTTCATAAACATATGCATACATATTAGTATATATGCTAAACGTAGTATTAGATGACATACACATATATGCGTGTATCTATAAGTTGAGCCAATTTTTAGCATAATGGAAAACACACACACACACTTATACACACACCCACACACACCCACACACACTCAACTCAACTGAACTCAATCGAATCATAATGTTAGGAAATGAATTTATATGAGAGCGCAGGGCTTTGAATTTGTTTTGCAACCCAAAATGAAATCCGATACGTTGTACGTAATTTGATTTTTTTGAATTGAAATTAGCGCTACACATAGCACGACTGCACGACTGTCTATGAAGATTTAATGTTTCAAAAACAAAATAGAAATAATTTATGGAGTGTGCCTAAAAAACTATAAAAAACGTTTACAGTTTTCTCTCTCTCTCTCTCTCAATCTCGCTATCTCTATATGATATATTCTTCTTGTAAAATCGTGTGATTTCCATGACAGAGTTAGTCGCCGGCACACTCTCCAGTTCCAGTTATACTATATTGATAGCGATAATGATAATGATACTGATAATATTTAGAATTAGAGAATCGGTCTCGACTCTGTGGCTAACCACCAAACGAATAGAATATCGAAATGACAGCAATATGCTATATAGGCGCATTTGATTGATATAGTATTAAACATTATTCAAAACATTTTGTGCATTGCATATAGTTTGCATCGTGTCAGATTCCTTTTTACTTTTCCAAACATTTTTTATACATATACATTATACACATATATACATATATATATAGATATATATATATATATATACATATATGATATGGAATACTTATACATATATACACGATGAATATATAAAAGTTAAATAAATTCAAAGCGAACGCGCATGCGCAACTCGTCTGGCATGTCAACCCGATCGAATAGCCGACTATTCATTGTTTTGGTATCTCTCTTCAGCTTCTAGGATGGGTGAACGGGTGGATAATGGCTTATGCGTTATCGGTGAGTACGCCTGCTGGGCCGCACAGATAGCGCACCGGATCCTCGCGATCGACGAAACATTCGAAGCCGAGCTCGGCTACGGGAATGCCGTGAGCCTTGAGCTTGCCCTCGTACAGCTCATACATTTCGGCATTCTTCTTGCTTAGCTTGGCCAACTGGAAACGTAAATCGTTAATGATTTTGTTCTTCTTGTCGACGACAGTGCGTATGTGATGATCGATGGGGCCCATCTGGGGCTTTAGGTTGGGCGGACACTTCTCGAGCGTCTCCTCGACAATAATTGCGCGCTTCTCGTCCTCGTGCATCAAAGCCGTCAGCTTGCGCTCGAGCAGGACGTTCTTGAGGCCAGCCCTTTGCTGTATCTCGACAATGAGCTCGTTGAAGCGCAATTTCAACTCCTTGCGCTCCTTGGCCAGCCCCTCGTTACGCAGAATGAGCGCCTCCGCCTCCCAAGTGAGCTCCTTGATGCGCTTATCGAGCTTCTCGTTGCGCACCTTCAGACGCGCCATCTGTATCTTGTCGCGCTCATAGAACTCCAGCTTGCGCTTCAAGTCGGCCAGCTGGGTCTTGGCCCGCTCCAGCGGCTCCTTCAGCTTTCGATTCTCGATGGTCATCTCGTGGGCGATGCGATCGCTGCGCTCCGCCTGCCTACGCAGATACTCCAACTGTTCCTTCATGCTGCCGATCAGCGCCAGATTGTTCAGTGTGATGTCATTATAATAATTCTTCATGTCTGTGAACGCCTGATCGTGGTGCTGTTGCAGATTCTTGATCTGCTGGTTCTTGCGCTCCTCCTCCTCGAACATCTGTATGCCGTAGAACAGCTCTAACTGCTTCTTCTGCTCCAGCATTCGCTCCTCGTGCAGCATCTCGTTGTCCTTGCGCTCATGCTCGAAGAACAATCGCTGGTCGCTGCCAAAGGAAATTAGAAGATCATTAATGAAGATACTGGTGGTACGCGACTATCTTAAAGTTCGGGTAAGTCTGACGACATTCGTATTTCCATAACAAGCAATTTTTATTTTTACGCCCTAAGATGCTTCTTCTCTATAACAATGAACCGAAAAATGTACAAGGTTGTACTAGTTCAGTGCGTACTTGTATGTCTATAACACACAGAAGGAGGTGTGTATATATTCTTGATCAAGATGAGAAATCGCGTCGATATAGCGATGCCCGTCTGTCTGTATGATCGCAAAGATCTCAGAAAGTATAAGAAGCAGTCAAGCCAAGTCTGAGAAGCAGCAAGTTTTATTTGTTTTTCCTGATACTCCCCCCACTCTCCCGCTATAGGTAATTCCCATAGCTCTAGTAATTCTTGTACAGGGTACATAGGAGTTGAGCCTGCATAGCCCTAGCTTGTTTTGAATAGGTTTTGGCAGACCCTATTAAGACATTTTTGAACAGAATAATAAGACGAGTCGATATAGCGATGTCCGCCTGTCTGTCTGTATGAACGCAAAGATCTCAGAAAGTATGAGAGCTAGAGTAACCAATCTTGGTATCCAAATTCTCCCAAGTCTGAGACACAACAAGTTTGAGTTTTTTTTTTCTGATACTTCCCCCACTCTCTCGCTATAAGTAATTCCCATAACTCTAGTAATTCTTGTACAGGGTATATATACGAGTTGGGCCCACTTCAAATTGCTTTTATTTTAATACTATGTATTACGTAATTTTAATTTGGGAGAATAAGCTTCGTTGATTTTTGGATCGGGCGGTATCTGGTACTCACAGCATCTTCTCGTTGAAATACGCCTCCATTTGGCGCATCTGCATCTCGGCTATCTCCATGCGCTCGCGGAGAATGCGTCTCATCGAACGCTTGTCCCGCAACAGCTCCCTCTCCTGCATGCGATGGTGATCCTGGGCCAGCTTTAGCTGCGTCATGGCCTCGATGCGTTGCTCGCCCAAATGGTTGTTGTTCTCGAAGGCCAGATGCTTCATCCGCTGCTGGAGGTACTTCATATCGACATCAGCCAGCTCCTGTGCTGTCTCGATTTCCTTCTCCTTCTGCTGCAACTCATACTTCACCTCCTCTGCGAAAGAACATTGGAGCATTAGGCCCTATTCTGAGGCAAATGTGCTTTGACAAATCGAGGCTAAAATGCAATCTAGTATCGGGACGGTAAAGCGCTACATTTGGGATCCATTTCTTGAGTGAAAGCTATGTTTTTCGAAAAAGATGATAAATTCTACTTTTTAAATAATGTCTTAAGTTCAAAATATTGGACTTCTTCTGAGCAGGGAAAGTGGCTTTGAAAGGACTACTTGGCGTAGTTTTTCAGTTGAAATTGTGAATTTTTTTTTATGAAAGCTCAATGACGGGTCAAAATACATATGTCGATTAGTGTAATTGTGGATATTTTTCTACTCACCCAACTGTGTGCGTGTGATGTCCCAGAAGGTGCGTATTTTGTCGCGCTCCAATTGGAAATAGTTGCGCTCCTCGCGCTCCCGATCCATTTCCGCCTTGAGGCGCAGCGCAAACGCCTCAAGTTGATCGCGCGTCATGGAGGACGTGTCCACACCGTCGATGAGAACTGCGGGGGGCAAGTCGGGGAATGCGAAAATTAGAACTCGCGCCTTTAACTCGCTACTGATGCTGCTGCTGCTTCTGCTTCTAATTTAATGAGCCTAGGTCGGACCTGCCGCATATGCGTGGCGGTCCATCTCGTAATTGTTTTGTGTAATTGCCCTTGCTGGGCAACTGCTGCAATGCCCCGCGTCTCTTTCCCCCCTCTCGGGCCACTGCAATTGCCTGCTTCAGTGTGTTGTGTTTAGTGCAATTCTGTGCGGCAATAGAAACAATTATGTGTGCGTTGGACCAGGACCAGGGCGCTTGAATTTGCTCACTCGTGCAAATTAAGTGGACAGTTCTTTTTCCCCCACTCTTGCCCCTGCCCCCGCCCCGTTCCCCCAAAATAAAGTCGCTTGCATGTGCGTGAGAGCAATTAAATTGCATTGAGCATGTGGCCTGCATGGCATGCCATTTGCCATTTTCCACTACCACTGTCAGCGTCTCTACTGCCTCCACAAACTCTAACCACGACTCTGAGACTGACACTGGCCAGCGGCCGTCAGAGATGAGCACGTGACACGACTATGAGTGTGAGAAACTCATGAAGCACGCCATTTCACATTTGAAGGTGAAATGGAGACTTAGAAGATGCCACCATATACTTGTAGACTAAGTTTACAAATTCGAGCAGTGACTCATTTAAAGTAGTTCTTTTTTTTGGGAATTAAGTTCGGTTCTATATCTCTCACAAATGGCAAATATTTGTCTCCTTATCATTAGTATATTAGAAGCTCTTTCAATATAAATTACATTAAGTTTGAAGCCAGTAATACCTTTAAGCTAAAAGAATTCCACAAAACCTACAATCACTCCTAAAAAGTTAATGTTATCTTCTCTCACCTAAAGATATATCTTATCTTCTCTATCATCTTGTCTGTCTTTAGCTTATATCATCTTTCCCAATATTATCTGTACTTGTCCTATGGGCCATTTCCCAACTTATTTGCCTTTACATATATTATCTTGTATTATTTTGTTGTATCTATCTTATCTGTCTTTTTCTTAAACTATCTTCCCTTGTATTATCTGCTCCTGTCTTATCTGCCCTTAAGATGATCTTAAATTATGTGCCTCTACATATATTATCTCATATTATCTTGTGATGTCTACCGTTATCTTATCTTATATTATATTATCTGCCGTTTTCTTATCTTATCTTTATCTTTTACTGTCTTTGCTTGTCCACGTCTTATCTGCACTTTCTCTTCTTAAATTATTTGCCTTTACATATATTATCTCATATTATCTTGTGCTATTTACCGTTATCTTATCTCATCTTATATTATCTGCCGTTTTCTTATCTTATCTTATCTTGTACTACCTTGGCTTGTCCACGCCTTATCTGCACTTTCTCTTCTTAAATTATTTGCCTTTACATATATTATCTCATAATATCTTGTGATGTCTACCGTTATCTTATCTCATATTATATTATCTGCCGTTTTCTTATATTATATTATATTATCTTATCTTTATCTTTGCTTGTCCATGTTTTATCTTGTGCTATCTACCGTTATCTCATCTCATGTACCTTAATAGTATCGGATTATCTTATCTTATATCTTATCCTATCTGAATTTATCTACTCTTATCTTACCTTACTTTATATTTTCTTATGCCATTTTTAATTAATTTAATTGCTCAATTAATTTCAAGTTTCCACAATTCATTCCGATACTAGTGCTAGAATTTAAACTCTGATATTGTGGACAATTTCCTGGGCATATGTTTCACTCTTTCTCTTATGGATAGACTTGCGGGAATTGTGATAATTTAGTGATTCAATTAGCAGCAATTGTCAACACGCGCCCATCTCTAGCGGCCACACTTTGCCTTGTGCTGGGCCACAGATTATCATTATTTGCTTATTGTTTTGCTTGGCTTTTTTATGCTGCACTCACATATGTGCAGGCAGGCGGTCGTCGACCCCCCGCCTCACCTTCGAGCACCGAGCACCCAGCACACCATTAATGTAGCAAAATTAATTGCCTGCCTGCCAGCCCGTTTGGACGCACTCTAAAGGCACCACCATCGGCGTATCCTTGTGCAGCGGCCATTCAAGCAGGAGCTGGCGTTTGTCGCGACTGTCAAAAAAGCGCAACGACCGAGGCGCCTATAAATTAGCCCCCCAATGCAGCAGAGCCCCCTTTACCCCGTTGCCCTTCTCCGATTTCCACTTGGAAAGCTGCAGCCCGCATTGACATCTTTGGCTACTCAATAGACGGAAGTGCCTGCCGCCCTTAGTTGTATTTTTTTTTTTTTTTGTAATTTTTTTTCTGTTCATACATCTGAGTTTTCCCGTTTGAGTTCGTTGACCCCTTTGCTTCGCTTTTGTTGCTTTTGTTAGCGAGTGCCTGTAATAGAAAAATGTCTTTGTTCGTTTCAACTTACCCGGCATTTTTTTGCCCTTCTTCCCCTTTTTCCCCTTTGGCGGCTGTAAATAGAAAAAAAGACACAATTACAAATGTAATTCTCGAGCTTAGCAAAGGCTTTCCAATAAATAGAATTCAAATTGCATTTCAAAGAATTTACAAATATCTAGCCTATCTATCTGTAGATCTGGCCTAGAAGCTGGGCCAGAAGCTTCCCCAATCGAGACTCATTCAAGTCTCGGATCTGATAGCCACAGCCTTGCTTCTACGGCTCTTTAAGAGCCTTAATTTATTTTATTGATCCCCTTCCCTTCCCGGGAAGCTGCTCTCAAATGGGCGCATGCAAATATTTGCACAACACTCATGTCGATTGGGGGAAGACCCTGACAATGGAGTGCCCGAAAAAAAGGAATTGAGCAACAATTGCTGTCCCTTTTTGGCCCTTTGGCGGTCGGCGTTGCCTACTTTCAGGCTACACGCCTTGTTTATTGGCCACGTTGCGCTTTAAATCCTTTAACAACGTTTAATTTGATTTCGCGTATTTTCGCTGCTTAAACAACAACAACAACAAGAACACCAAAAGCAACAACAACAACAGCAACAACTACAAGGACAGCAGCGTGCAGTTCTTTTTTCGCATCCTCGAAGGGCGCCACTGCTGGCTGATCTGGAAGTGGAGAAGTGCTGCTGGGTAGCGGGAGAGGGATAGAAGGGGAAGTGGAGAGGCTGGCAGAGACAGTTGCCGCGGTTATTGTTGTTGTTGTTGTTCGGTACTGGCCAGGAAGCCAACGAGTCGCTGCCGCGGCTGCCGTTTTAAATAATGTGATGGCGCGGCTTTCAAAACAATTTCGCAACAGCTGTTGGCTTATTGCATATTTTATGACTGCAAATTATTCAAAAATTTTCGATGCCGCCGCCGTCGCCGCTGCTGCCGCTCCTGCCGCTCCTGCTGCTGCTGCTGCTGCTGCGATGGCGGCCAACAGCAACAGCAACAACAACGGCAGCGTCGGCGTCGGCGTCCAGTGTCACGGCAAAGGCGTAAAATTTTCATAAATAATAATAGTATATAAGTATGGATGATGAAGAACAGTGAGCACCTGTAGAGCTGAAATTCGGCGCTCAAATCGGAAACCAACAGCAGCCACCAGTATTGCGGGGATTCCCCGCCACATACAGACACGCTCAGATGCTAAGTTTAACTTAACTCTTCAGGCAGTTGAAACGCTTCCCAAACAATTAATTCGAAAGCATATTACTCTTATATCTATAGTTTGCGATTACAAGTTAGGTATTGCTTGTAAAATCAAAATTAAATACCTGCTAGTGACGAGGAGAGAAAGAGGAAGATTGATTGGAAAGACCAAATACCGTCTTGGTGCGATAGAAGTTTCAGAAGCTAAGGGCCACTCGTCACCAGCGTTGCTTTTTCCCTTCAAATCTGCTCGGTTTTGAAAGCTCATTGTGGGAAAAAATTCGAGACTGCGGAAAGCGGGAATTCCGGCATTTTTAAAATACATTTAGCTTTTTTCCGCTTTTTGTAATTTTAATTCAAAAATAAATAAGAAAGGTGCCCAAGAAACCAAAAAAGTCAGTCAGAAGAAAGGCAGGACCTACGCCGAATTACAGGCGAGGAACATATAGACTGATTTTGAGATCTCAATCAATAGTGGAAATTTGACTGATAATGGGGCATATAATAAACCCTGAAATAGTAACGATAGTACATATTTTAAAAATGCAAGCAATTAAACTAAAGTTCCACTCCCTCTGAGAGTATGAACTGAAGAAACCAAATAAGTCTGTCAGAGCAATGACAGGACTTACGCCCAATTACAGGCGAGGAACATATAGACTGATTTTGTGATCTCAATCAATAGTGGAAATTTGACTGATAATGGGGCATATAGGGTCTGTTATACATATTAGACATGGTAATTATAATAAAGTTCAACTCCCTCTGAGAGTATGAACCGAAATTTTCAATCGGCCTAATAAGGATAAGTGGGGGCGAAATAAGGTTGGAAACTGAATAGACTACAGCATAGAGCTATTGCTGGAAAAAATTGCTAAGAATTGCTCTGGGTATGTCTTGGTCTCAAAAGGCTTTACACCTAATTCTGTTTTTACACGGTCTGTTTTTACACGATTTTGATATAACACGGTTTGAAAATTAAAAATTTCATATATACTATTTCTTTAGATATCAGGAATAAGGAACCAATCACCTATTTTTGCATATGATCAAAGTCTTTTTTTGCACGGTTGTTTCTGGAACCAATCTACCGTGTAAAAACAGAATTATGTGTATTTATTTATTTATAAAAGAAAGGGTTAACAATTAATTCTTAAACTACTTAAAGTCTGGAGCACTAGCAGGCAGGGCTTTCAGCTCAAATGGCTTCATTATTTGATCGATTACTTTTTAAACACCTTTTTAGTTCTCCCGAACCAATTCAGCGATATTATTATTTGCGTATTTATTATTTTATTATTATCTGATTAGAATTTCCAATTCTCCACTTCCTCTCTGGTTCTTTCTTGATACTGCACCGGCGCCTTTTTAGTTTGACTTGCATTGTTCAAGTTGTGAATAGTATCTTGCCACAGCTAAGCTTGCCTTACTGTACACTCGGCACTTACATACAAATATGTAGGTGGGTGTACGAGTATTGGGCAATAACAACAACAACAACACGAAGAACAACAAGAGCAGCAGCAGCCTGCAATGTTGCAACAGCGCCCCAATGCGGTGCGCAACAAATGCGAATGGCGCTGAGATTTTACGCGCTGCACATTTCTTTCGTACATTTTACGACAGGCACACACACACAAACACACAAACACACATAGCCATCTATAACGTATATATATTTTGTATGTGTCTGCGGCACAACAGACCGGCTTGGCATGAAAAATTGCATGGGCCGCGAATGCAATAGAAACAGAGATGGGGCTGGGGAAGCGAAAATTTGGTGTTGCCACCAAAAAGTGGGCGAGGCAGCGGAGGAGGAGGGGGAGGGGGAGAAGGAGGGCAGTAATGGGGCCATCATCAGGCGAATGGGAGATGGAAATGGAGATGTCTTTAGGCTTCAAAAGCTGAACAGCTGCTGGTTAGTAATTTGTTGTGTTTCGGGACTCTCAATGGGCCATCAATAGAATCGAAAATCAGGCTAAAGAAGTTGAAGGATTGACTCACCATTTTGTAATCCTTTTGTTGCTCAGTTCTTGCTGCTCGGAATAATAATAAATTTCATGTGCAATTTGTATTATTAATGGAAAATATATAGATGAATATCTTATATATGTATATAATTTTTGTCGAATATCTTTTTGGTTGTGCTCCGAACTTTGTTGACAAACGACGACGACTGACGACGCGGTTGCCAGGCGGCCACGAATCGAGTGCGAAAAATGCGGAAAAATGCTGCTGCCCCGGTTCGAAACAAATTTTGTTTGTATTTCTCTCATGTATTTTGTGTATTGTTCGGGGTTTTGTTATTTTGTTGTCAAGGTGGCGGCCGAACAGAACGAAATGAATGAAGCAAGGGGCAGGGCCTGCCCCATTGCATTGCAGTGGAGTGAGGGGTGTTGGTGGGGAGGGGTATAGAGGGCTCTTATCGCCACTTCCCGATACTCGCTCGCAACAGGGACTATCATAGCAGCTGTGGCCCGTCGTCCTCTGCATATCATCATCAACAACAATCAACAAGGCAGCTGAGTGGTTGGAATGCCATTTCCCTCCCACACTCACACACACATCTATATATATAAATACATACATACTTATATAGCCGCCACATAAATTTTGCACAATGCAGCGCACAGTCAAAACGAAGGCAACGAAATTGAAATAGAAGCAGTTAACGATGTCGGGCAGATACTCGTAGAATTGCCAGAAACTGCAACGCCAGTCGCACAGCTAGCACAACAACAACTGGTTCTATTTAAAAAGGAACCAGTTCCGAAACACCAATGCACTCGAAATAGCACTGACAGCATAGTCCTCTGATGCTTCGGGGTTACCAAATATTAATGGTAGTAACGATCGTTGAGTACAGACGGTTTTCAGAGTGAATTCTCGGTCAGGGAGTTTTTCGAACAAGGCATCCAATTGGCAATGCGATTCGCTGACAGTTTAAGCTGCAGCTTAAATCCTTGAAAATGGAAACATTAACAGGCCGCTGGAAGTCTTCTCCTAACCTTAACATATTCTGGAGATATTTAAAGCATACCGAACTGATCACATTAGACTATAAGTATAGCCTACACATAAAGAAGATAAGTGAAATGCTTTTTCTTCAACTCTTATTTAAACGATTTCCAAAAAGGGGGAGGTTATCAATTCGTCGGTATTTTTTGTAGAACAACAATTATTTTATGTCGATAATACTGAGAAGCATGTTTAATATATATTTTGTATTTGTAAAAATGCATTTTAGTTGGATTTAGCAGTTTATTATGAAATCTGAGAATGGCTATTGGTGTTCTAGGCTTATCTGCTCCGACTTAGTTTCTCGCTTAAAAAGTAATTTAATGGCTCCTTTTTTAATTCTTTTCGAGTTTTATGCTTTAATTATCTCTCTCCTTCTCTCTCTTCCTTGTCAAAAGCTTTTATTTCCAGCTATCTTAAGAAAATTCTCGGGCCAGCGACATAGCTTTCAAACTATCTAATAAATCTTCTCCCACCACGTTATTCCTTAATCTTAGTCTTAAATAATTGTTGACTCAAGTTTCTAAGTTTTCCTATATTCCATAGTTAGCTGGGAATCGGACTGGATTGTGTCCGAGGCGTTATTAAATAGTGGGATTGTTTCAATTTATAGGCATATATTAAGTCTCTATTTATGTTTGTCATTTAACCAAATGACAGCTGGGCACGATTCCATTTAAAGTAAGGATCGATGAAAACATGCGGGATCAGGACGCATCACATGAGTAGTTCACTTATAGAAAGCGAAACTTTAAAAACAGTTTCGAATTGTAGAATACAGTGGACCTCGATATAGTACAGAACAGTAATATTGTTTCCGTCGACTTATTGGAAAGTAGATGATTAGTGGTCTGCCATTAATGGTGTTTGAGAGTCCTGTAAATGAGGCAAAGAACGTAGACTCAAGCTGGGTACAAACCTCAAATGACTTTTTCATTGAAGTGCAGCAAACGTTAATATGCAAGAGAATTGAAAAATACAAACAAAAGCTCCCGAATGAGTGCGTTAAAAAGCACTCTTCTTTAAGATGTTCGCAATTACACTTAAGAATATACCTTGGTTAAAGAAATAGGTCGAGAAATGAAGTAAAATTTCCGCTCGCTTAGTTTCAAGAAAGGTTTATAACTAAACTCAAAAAACGTAATAACAAATGTCAAAATGACGCCAAATGAGGCAACAATTTGAAAACCCGCTCCTATTTATTATAAATGAAGATCGAACAATTTCTAAAGAATATAGTCTGAATATACAAGTATGTTTGATATTTTGTGGAATAAAGTGTGCATTTGTTAAGAATATAACTTGGTTATCCAAATAAGTTGCAATATAAAGTGATATTTTTGATTCGCTTGCGACTACTAGTATTTAGGTTTCAGGGTAAGTTTATAATTAAACTCAAAAAACGTAAAAAACAAATATGAAAATGCAGTCATTGAGACAACAATTTGAAACCATTTCCTTTGTTAACACTCCAGTTTATTTTGAACATAAATCTGACGCTTTTTAAAGAGTAAAGTCGGAATATTTGTTTTATGGTCTGTGGAATAAAGTGTGCATTTGTTTTTTTTTAAATTTAATGGACTTACAATATTCTCGATCCCTGAAACTATGCATTCTGCAGCTCACAGACTCGAACTGATTTTGTAGCACAGCTCTAATCAGGACTCGCAGCAGCAGCAGCAGTTGCCCTTGTCGTCCTTGTCGTCATCATCGCAATCAGTTTCAAGTCAGTTGCTGCTGCCTGCTGCTGCTGTTGTTGTTGTTATTGTTGTTGTTGTTGTTGCTTCTGCCGTCTGCAGCTTAAATGGCTCTTTGGGCCACTCGACCCCTCGCGCGCGCCCCCTTCTTCCGCCCATGGGCCACGCCTCGTTGCGCAGCTGTTTGTGGCCTTTAAAATTGCTTTTGCATTGCAGCCAAAAATGAGAATAAAAACAAGAAAATAGAAAAAGAAATTAGAGAACAGAGGAAAAGTTGCTGCAAAGTCGGCATCAACATCAACATCAGCATCAGCATCAACATTCAGCATCAGAGCCAGTTTCGGCTTCATCTCCAGCTCCAGCTCCAGCTCCAGAAGCAACATCATTTTTGACTGCTGACTGCATTTGCTGTCATTTTTGTTGGACTTGTTGTTGTTGTTGTTGTTGTTGCTGTTGCTGTTGCTTTGCTCTTTGTTGCTGTGCCGGCTAATTTGTTGATTTCATAAAATTTGTTATCATTATTAAGGATGATTAGTGCGGGCCTTTGTCTCCTGGCCGCCGGCCAGCTCAACTTTGCTTGCATTTTCTTTTTTTAATTTCCACCAACTTTTCTTTTCTTTGCTTTTTTTTTGCTGCCCCTCCCACAGGGCCATGCTTTGCTTCACTTAAGCCAGCTTAATTAACTAGATCAAGGCACTGCCTATTAGCAGCCACTTAGCAGCAGCTCTAATCAAATTCCTTGCCAGCTAATACAAGTATTTGATTAGTTCGACTGCCCCTCTCCCTCTCCCTCCCCCTCCCCCTCAACCAACACCCTCACATAGATACAAAAAAGAGCAACAAAAAAGAAAAAAGTGGAAGCAATGGGTATTTCTCACGCCCTAATTTATGCGTCGATGGTGCGAGGCCTGACTCGAAATTATACGCCACTTGCCCGACGCCTGTGTAAACAAAAAGGGACCTCAAGTCGAGGGCTCGGGGGCTCGGGGGCTCGAGGCGGCGGGCCCGCAGTTGGAGCTAGCTGGTTAAACGCTTTAATTGAAATTAATAACCACAGTCGGTGGATGTCAGTGGTTGTCCGTGGTTGTCCGTGGTTGTCGGTGGTTGTCAGTGGGGCAGTCGGCGTTCCTTCAATTGTTTTCATTAAAAGTCAATTTTTTGCTTTCTGGCCAACGGCGCTTCTTCGGCTGCCGCCGCCGCTGCCGCGCCAGCCTCAGTTTCAACTTCAACCCTTGCTGAGGAGGCAAGCTCGAGGCTGCCGCATTTTGAGGCGCGTAAATGTAAACGATGTTCGGCCGCATAATTTTGTTTTGGCAACTGTTGTGGTCCTGCACCCTTCTCCTTCTTGTGGCCAACGACTTGGGCTGACGACTTGAGCTGGGGGGCGGGACCGAGGCAGAGGCGGAGACGCAGACGCAGACGTTCGGTGGCAGAAGCGTGAACGTGAAGCGTGGAACGTGCAACGGCTGCCAAGGGTCACGCGGCTTGCGCTGATTGAAAGAGAAAGTGCCTACAAATATGATTATATTAAATTTTTGGTAACAGGCCAACTCTTTAAGTGTTGCATCGAAAGCGCAACAAAATGTAGACTTTTGCGAATTTAAAAAGCAGCACAAATAATTATTAGAAAAGGCTTCACACATGAACGGCACTTTTTCTTCAACAATATTTAACAACAAACATTTAATTCAATCAAATAAATTAAATATGAAGGTGAATTTAAATTCGTAGCAAGCAAAAACGAATCAATTTTGATCAGAAATTTAAGAGCAACCATAATACTTCGTGTGAGAATTAAATATCCATTTAAGAACAACTCGAGAGGTTTCGTGCTAAGATAACAAGCTAAAGCAAGATTAGTTTTAAGCAGTATTGTTGGTTTTGTTTTGTTGAACTCTTTCCTATGCTTCCTTTGCACATTTAAATGCACTTTTCAAAAAGAAACAAGGAACTAACATAATTGTGTTTCAATAAACTTGTTTGCGCTTGTTTAAAAAGGAAGCGGCAGGATAAGAATGTATAAGACTTTTAAGCTATGTACGAACGAGTATGTAGCTGTGTTCGAGGTACAACTTTTGTAAAAGAAATATAACGCGTAGTAATCATTTGAAATAAAGAATGTTCTGTACGGACCGCCCCTTCGAGTTCCAATTTATACACTTGTTCTTTTTCAAAATCTTTTTTTGCGTTGAAACATTTTTTTTTTTAATTATTAGTATTTATTTGAACCTTTCCAAATTTTTTAAATTTCAATATTTATTTTACACATATGTATGTACAGAGTATTTCGAAGTCGGGACATCAGGCTTTAGCTTTTCCACTTGCTTTTACATTTATTATTATTTTTTGGCGGCACATATTCTTTTAGTTTTTTGTGTTGAAACCATTTTGTAAATAATTATTAATAGTTATTATATTTTTTTAACCCTTTTTTGTGTTGAAACAATTTTTTGAAACAAATTATTAATATTTAATTGACAGCTGGAGGAATCTCAAACGTAGCTGAAACTTATTAAATTTGTAAATTGTATACATCTTGAGAATAAGGAAATATTCTGCTCTGGCTCTTAGAGCTGTTTTCAACTTTAAAAAGTGGAAAAGTCGAGCCCTTTATCATAAATAACCCATGCTAGGCAACTCAGCTTCCAAGACAAGCATTAACAGCCATTTATACTGCACTACAAAAGTCGCTAATTCTTGTTTAGTTCTAACTATAAGGCTTTTAATTAATTGAAATAGAAAGCAGATCACCGTTTGAGAAGCGCAGATGTGACTTATCCTCTACAAGTACTTTCCCTTCAACCATTGCTAGCCGATAAAAAAGGCGAAGGAGACACTCATCCTGATGTCCATCTAGTCTTATCAGTGCCTGATTTAAATGGGATGTGCGGCATTATAATGAGCCAATTCTGGCCTATAACCGATCCATTACTATTGCCAGAATGATGTTAGCCCTCTTTGGGAAGGGTAGAAAAATGTGGCATGCGGTCGCTGACGTCACAAAAAATGCAACTGAAACTATTTTAATGAAGTGAAGCGCAAATTTGGCTACACACACACACACACACACACACACACACACACACACACACACACACACACACACACACACACAAGCACATAGACACACGCACACTAACACACACAATTTGGCCGCTCATTGTAAGGCTAAAACAAATACAAAATAGATGGGGGATAGCGAACTGGCTGGACGCCTGAAAGCTCCAGCGCCGCTCAACCGCAAAACTTTTCACACGCACACACATTTATATGTATTTGTATGCATATATGATGTATGTACGTATGTGTGTGTGTGTGTGTATGTGTGTGTGTGTGGGCACAATGCGGTGTCAAAAAGGAACACAAATGAAGTGGCATTGTTGGGCTACAGCAAGCTTAGTGGCTGCTCCTGCCGGTACTGCTGCTTAGTGGATAGACATGGGGGGGTGGGGAAGGGGGTGAAGATGTGGGAATAACCACTACTAGTATGGGGCGGGGGGCATGGGGGGGGGGGCTTGTGGACTACAACGGTTGGATGGGATGGGTGTGGAATGGGTTTTGCGTGAACGCGCAGCCAGCATTCCAACATTATTACGAAATTACGATAAATGTCATCGAGTTGTCACTTTTGTAGCGCTATTCACACACACTCGCCACACTCACACGCGCACACACACACGCACACACTGACACTGACACTAATACAGATGCGTGTTAAGTACATAACTCTTGGCATCGTCCTCGCCGCTGCTAAGCCAAGCACTAGAACTGAAGCGATAGTTTTTTGTTTTGGCTAAAACTACTCACATAGCAGCTGGCACAGTGCAGGCCATTTAAGTAGAAGCACGAAGAGGTAATGCAATGAGAGAATGATGTTGAAATCGAGAACTCATTCTAGATTTCGTTTCGACATCTTAACAACATTTCATGCAAAGAGGGCAGCATTTTTAATCGTGCACCTTAAGAGACAGAAGTATAATATTAAATATATCATTGTAGGAATGTATATACTTTTGCTATCCTGTATGAGCAAAATGTATGTTTGAAATTACTTTGCACATTGTCTTACGCCATTTAGCTATGGTTTGTAATAATGTATTTGTTAGGACTTATAACTCCGTCAAAGGAAAATCCAAGCTGGCCGACTATTGTGCCTAATTTGTTCAAGCAAGCTTTAGTTAATATTTTCTGTACATAATTATATTAAAGGTCTACTTTTTTTTAAGTGCTTTGCATTCTGATTGATTGGTAAATTATATTCTTGCTATCCGTTTTGGCAAAGCATAAACATACTGAGTTGGGGAAAGGCAACCCATTTCCTTTCAGTTATATTGCTGGCATAGTAATATTTGACAATGTTTTGCTTTGGTTGAAACGCTGTGGTGGGGAAGGGTGAGTACAGAGTATTCAAAAGTCGGTCGGGCACGATTTTAACGTTCTACACAATAGTGTAACTCAATAGTTTTTTGGTTTTGGCTTTCAACAACAACTTTAAAATTGTAATTTACAAACTTCGTATAACGGTGCGGCTTTCATCAACTGCTTTTGCAGCGAGATCGAATTAGCAGTGTGTGTGAAGAGCACAAAGGGAGTGTCGACTAAAAACTCAAAGCTCAAGATCAGCCGCTGCAAGAGAGAGCAAGAGAGCGCTACCAATTTACATTGTGTTGATGAGAGCCAGAGAGCTCTGCAGACGCAGCCAAATTACATAATGTTATATTTAGTTATGTTATGTTATATTTAGTTATGTTATGTTACAGCGCGATGTGTTGATACAAATAGCAAACAAATTTACACAAATTTAAGGCAAACAATAATTGGTTTAATTATGGCTGTGTGTGTGTGTGTGCGCTTCATCGAGCTATTCCTAAATAAAATTTGCAATTAATACTCACCTCATGTACTTACATATCTCTAGTTTGGTAGCTACAGTTATATGAGCAGCACTGTAAATAAGCAGGTATGTGTGTGGCTGGCTGTACTGGTGGAGAGAGAGACGCTCTCCCACTGCCATATCACCATACACCCATGGCCATGGCAGGCCAGCCCAGCCCAGGCCAGGCCAGGCCAGGCCAGGCCAGGCGAGCATGCTCATTGCGGTTGGGAAAGTTATTTGCTGTGTTATTTTCACAACAGTTTCCGCAACTTGCGCAGGAACGGATTTCCGTCTGAGCTTGAGAGCCAAATTTGCGCATCTGCTGGCACTGGCACTGGCACTGGTTGATGAAGCAAGGGGCGTCGACATGGGAAGAAGGCAAGAGGGGGAGGAGTGTAGAAACGATCTCTGGACAGACGCACTCAGCTGCCAAAGTGTTGTCTTGTCTCTGCTGCTGTTGCATTCTCAGCTCCTTCTTCAGCCCCTCCTCCTCCTCCACCTCCTCGTGCGGTCCAATTGAAACTGTAACATTTGCATTTAAGGTCCCCAGTCGCTGTCTGTTTTCCACATTTCCCATACAGCACAAAAGATTTAGTTTCTTATTAATAATAAATATATTTGTCCTTTATTTTTGTAGAATTCTTTATCCATGTGTTTTGCCATATATACATATATATGTATATATAAACATATATACGTATATATATATATATTTTATTTATTTATATATAACTATATATTTATATATATACATATACATATATATAGATATTTTTTATTTTGATATAATATATATATGCATATATAAGATTGGTTTTGCTCTTTATGCTTCACTTACAGCTTACAGACAAGTATATATATACACATATATATGTATATATATATTTATATATATGTATACTTGATTTATATGCTATATAGACGTCATTATGTTCGCCACGTAATTAGGTATGTGTTTAGTTTTATTGTAATTAACATTTAACTTGCAAGTTTCAACTTAAAACCATTTAGCGTTTTAGTTCGTTTAGTTTAGTTTTATTTTAAGATTAATATAGTACATTTACTTATCGAATGAAATGTATACAATGAGTTATATATATTTATATATATATATATATATTTTTTTTTTTAAATATGTAATATTCTTGCACATTACAAACTGCTTGCTATATTTCGAATTGGTATTATACTTTAGTTTCTTTCAGTGTATTTATATAATTTTCGTTTGCTATATACAAAGTTCGCTTTGATTAGGTGTTGAAAGTGGTCGTTCCTCTATATCTGGCTTATCTCGATCTGACATGAAACTGAAACTCTTCGTTTTTATGCAATTCTGAAACATTGGAATTCTGAAAAGCTGTATAGTCTGTATATTCAGATGAGATAAGTTCTTTAGATTTCAAATGCGTGGCAGCTCATATTAATTTTCAATTCGAGATATCAAATATTCTCGTGTCTTGATTGCTTTCCTTTTAAAAAGGCAGTTTAAGAAAAGGGGAGAAACAAGTGGCAGTGATGGTAGAAAAGGGCAAGCCAACCAATCCCTTGGCTTGATTACTCAATTGCAGAGCCTGTGAACCCCAAAATCAAGAGCTGTTGCTCTGCACAAACGTAAACCCTATGACTAGTCAATCATGAAGTGAAACAGAAATGAGCTCTGGAAATTGTTAGGCTCCGAAAAGGTATTTATAAGAGGGTCGATTGAACCACTTTCTTGCCTTATATCTGAGCCGCTCTACATATACTTATATATTCATTTATACTCGTATGTATATATGGTGTATACCTAGGCATATATTGAATATATATTCAGGTTCTGTTTGCCTTACACACAAACATATCCATCGGCAATTATTTGTTTTCTGATTTCTTCTATTTCTTTATTATTTGTAATTGCAACTCGTTAAACAGTACTATATTCCTCCTCATCTCTTCGGCTAGATGCAACATGAATTATTCATTTTAGGGTTAATTTTATTTTATTATTAGAACTCTCGCAAGAATACTCGTACTTTTTAGTTTGTAGTTTTTGCTAATAATGGCACATAATATTATTGTTTTGCAACTTTTTGAAGTTCTCGTCCATATACTTGTACGTGTATATATATAGGTATTAATATATATATATATATATTTCATTTAAAAAAAAAAACACTCGAAGCTCTACACCATTTACCCGAAGACAAAAAAAAAAAAACCGCTTAACACTTTTAACAACCATTTCTTAATAGTACTTTAATTAATTTATATATTTTTTCTTATTCTTTTTTTTACAATTTTTGTCATCTTATTGTACATGCGAATCTATAGAGTTGCCGCAACGCCTCGAAGTATGCAACGATGTGTGTAGTATGTGGCATGTGGTGTGGCAGGTGGCAGGTGTCAGGTGTCAGCACTGATTGCAACAACTCAACTCAGATGAGGATGCAAAATAATACACTAAACGCAAACCCAGTTGCCCAGTAATTTGGCAGGCCGAACTAAGTAAGTGGACAAAGAAGTTTTTAATTAAAGTGCAACAATGGCAGCAACAGCAACAGCAGCAGCAAGCAAATAAATAACCAGAATAATCGAATGGCCGACCGGCCAGACCCAAAACTGCCAGCAATCGAGACAGACATGTCAAAGCAATTTGAGTGGACAGCCAACCACACACACACACACTCACACACGCACAGACACACTTAATGGCAGACACAGACACATTGCAAGTTGCGGGCCATCCCACATCTGACTATATAGTAAATAGCTCAAATCAGAATTCAAATTAAATTAAAATAAATACACGCCACAAAGTACCCAAGACGAATTGAAGACATCATAATTGAATTTCGACCAGCCCCGAAATGGAGTCCAGCGGGTTGCATCCTGCATGTCTACAGTAAACTCTCCAGTGCGCGACTGCAACCAAACCAACTAGATTGAGTGTAATTCGAAACTGGTAAGTGATCTTTGAAGTACTAAGGATATTAGATTAAAGCAGAAATATATGTTTGCTACAGCAAGGGCTCGGAAGGTGTAGCCCATGTCTGAATAGTGACAGGACTACTACTCATTATATACGATTACTTGAATCAGGCCCCTAAATAATGCTACGTTTAAGCAACCACCAATACAAAATTTAATAAACAAAATAATTTATTATATAATAATTAATTAATTAATTCAACTCTTGGAAATTATTTAAAACTTTAGTTAGTCCATTAGCGATTAGCTCTGAATCGCATGGGATTGGAAATAAAAAATTAAATATAAATAAATTGAAGAGATTTATGTTAAACTAAGAAACCGAAAAATATGAACAGTAATTAATTTTTTAATCTTAAATCGTTTGAATTTTGTTCATCAATTTGAGATGTTTTTGTGATCATTTCGTTTTAAGGCAGATATTAAGAGCAGAAATGGCAAATTTTTAATTTGGGAATCAGAATTGTGAAAGTTAGGTTCTTGAATTATCGAATGTATTTGAGAGATATAGAACTTTGTTTTGTAGAGAATTTTAGGAAAATAATTTGAGGGATGGCAGTTTCTGAGAAACTGCATTTTGAAGTCTCCAAATTATATATTTTGAAAACAAATCTCCACACGAACATTGTTCGATCGTAAGTCTTCGCAGAAGGATTAAAAAAATCATCTAAAAAGAACTTGATGCACGATTTTAAAATACAAATTCTTCTCCTAAGCTTTAGAAGTCTTACATGAAGATGTTTTTTTTTTTTTTTTTTTTTTTTTTGTGGAAACAATTATGGAATGTCGACAATAATAGTCGCTGGAGTTTAATGAAAGTGCTTGAGTAGCATGTCAGCTTTTTTAATAAGAAGAGGTACTAGCTTAATAAATTCAAGTGTTGAGAAATCAACATTTATTTCCACAAAAGGCTTCTCAAGGCTTTAAAAGTGAATTTCAAGTGTTGCAGAGAATTAAGAGTGCTGGGAAATGATGTACATTATAACGTTATTTAATATTTGGTACACACTGTACTTGTATTCATATTTGTATTTATTTAATTTGGATTTTCACTTTTCAGCACTTGGAACTTAAGAACTGAAGAAATGAGATTACTGCAAGTGGCAGCTGTTGCTTTGACTCGGCTGCCAGGCATTTGAGAGATTACAAAAGCGAGCCAACTAGCACACGTCACAACAACAGCAACAACAACAACATACACCACCCACTCATCCACACAAACACACACATGTATGTACACATTGCAGCAACATATTTTATTGTTATTAAATCAAAAAACTTGAGTAAGTTTCGGAAATACAAAACGCAAAATGGCAGTTCACTGAATTGCAAGGGGGGGTCTGATGTGAAGGAGGGGATGAAGGGGAGGGGGGATGGTCATACGTAGCTTGTGTAACAACAATTCGAGTTGATTGCCATTTGTTTTTGGGGAGAGTGTTGTGGGGCAAATGTTTCAAATGCGGCTGCGTCCAAGTTGTGTGTTGCAAGTAACAACAAGCGGCCAAACACACAGGAACAAGTAAAGCACAACACCAACAACACCAACACCAACAACAGCAACAGCAACAGCAACAAGGAGAACAAAAACAAGAGCAACAAGAAGTAGCAACATCAGCACCAACAAGCGGCGCATTCAATTAAACTTCCGCCAAACATGAAGCTTGACGCCTTTCCCTTTCCCCTCGCCTTCCCTTTGTCCGTCGTCTTCATCATCCTTCGTCCTGCTGACATGCCTCTTCAGCCCATTCAGCTCGCACACTGCCATTCATTCGCCTTGAGGTTATAAAATAAACATGTTGCCACACACAAAATTTAAATAGATACAAGTTTTGCAGCGCATAAAACAATAAACCGCAGTAATTTAACAAAAAAAAAGAAGAAACAAAAAAACAAAAACCAAGAAGAAACAGGAAGGAAAGCATGACAGCTTGGCAGCCAGGCAGCCGGGCAGCCAGACAGAAAGAGATAGTGGGAAAGTGAAAAGAAATGGCAGAGAAAAAGTTGAAGAAAAGGCATAAATGGCTCTCTCTGTGTGTGGGTGTGTGGATGTGTATGTGTGTGTGTTGTGCGTTTTGTGTGTTGTTTGTGGCAGGAAAATAAGAAATTAAAATACAATTTAAAAGTACGCAACAGAGCAATTAAGCGGCCTTTCTTTTTACACACAAGCGCACTTCATTACAAGCGGCGCAACAACTCGAATAGCAACAGAAACAGCAACAAATTCAACAACTTGAGCCACAATCATAAGTACAACAACAACAACAACAACAACAAATAATAATAATAATGTACACACATGTGAACAAAACACAGGCAACAGCCATTGGAGATGGCCGTGTCATGTGTTTGGGATTAGTTTGATTACCATTTTTGGCTTCGGTTACATTTTCAGAAGGCCTTTAAAAAATATTGTTTATTTATTCAGGTTGTAAAAAACATGTGAAGCGAACTGTTAAGGAATATTCTATTAACAAGAAAATAACTTGCATGTTTTCTGTGCAGGAAACTAAAATTTTAAGCTTCTCAATTTCTCTATTTGTATTTCCTTGTTTTCATTCAATTTTTAAAGAGTTATGGGAAAGCTTAAAAATGAAATTATTCTGTTGTTCTTTTTTTTATCAGAAAGGTTGTTCATTTTTATAGATTTATGTTTCGCAATATTTTAAATTCTCAACTCTCTGTGGGAGAACTAAATGCAATTAATTCTTTGTTGGGAAAATGTTGTAGGGGGCTTTTCAGGTTAGTATTTGTTTGTTTTTTCTTTTTTCAATTTTTAAAAAGATATGTAGGTAAGCTTAAAAAAATGAAATTATTTTGTTGTTCTTCTTGTTATAGCCTGTACCCAAAGGGTGAAAGGCTATACTTACTTTTTAAAAAAATTTTTTTTTTTTTAATTTTTTCCTTTTTGTGGAGAGTACAGGCTATTTTACTGTCGGGCTTGCTCGACTGTAGCGTTCTATCTTGTTTTTTATTAGAAAAGTTGTCCATTTTTATAGATTTATGTTTTGCAAAATTTTCAATTCTCAATTCTCAACAGCACAGAGCTGTGTTCTCAAATGTGGGAGAACTAGATGCAATTAGTTCTTTGTTACGAAAATGTTGTAAGGGGGCTTCTCAGGTTAGTATTTGTTTGGTTTTTTTTCAGTTTTTAAAATATGTGGAAGAGTTTAAAAAAATTAAATTATTGCGTTCTTTTTTTTATCAGAAATTATGTAAATTTGTATACATAGATTTATGTTTCGCAAAATTTTCAATTCTCAACTCTCTGTGCTGTGTTTTGTGGGAGAACGTGGGAAAACTAAATGCAATTAATTTATAATTACAAAATTGTTTAGAAATTCGTCGTCTTAGCACATATTTGGAAACATTTTTTATGATTGAAATAAATGGTTTGTTGTGGAAACTGATTCCATTCCACCATGAAATTGATTCTGCTATTTATAAGTATATGAGTACATATTTTCTAATTGCGAAAATAACAGTTGTACGTTTTTAAAATGGGAAAAAGTTAAAAAAAAAAAACAGCCTTAAACAAATTAAATTCAATTGCAAGCCAATTGATTATATTGACAATTGACAAAGCGCCCTTTAAATAGTGTTGTTGCATTTAATTTTCAATAAATGATGGGTTTAAAGCGCTGTTGAAAAACACAAAACAAAGTCAAATGTATTTTTTGCTCAGCAATTTTCTTTCTAAAAAGTTGAAGAAATTTGTAATTCTAAAAGATTCTTTGAAGATTTTAACTTTGAGCCGTTTGATTAACCAATGCTTATCAGCTCTTAATTCGCAATTAATCTTTCTCTAATTAATTTGAAAGGATCTCCCCCCAGTAATTTGAAAATAATGCAAATAATTTGTATTACATAGATTTAAGTGCAATCCTATAGATATATCCTGTGGACAATTGTAATATTCCCCTCTAATGTACATGCAACTGAAAAAGCCTGCTACATTAGTTGGCAATACAATATTTTAATACAAAAAAAAGAGAAAAATACTAATTAATTCAAATTTTTAACAAATTGTTTCTCACTCAGCATCATTAGTTATTTGTATAGTTCATTGATAAGGTTTAGTGGGAGTTTTTTTAAGACGAGTACATTTAATTCTGTTTTTACACGGTCTTTTTTTACACGACTTTGATGTAACACGGTTTGAAAATTAAAAAAATGCATATATATTTCTTTAGAGATAAGGAACCGATCAACTATTTTTGCATATTTTTTACACGGTTGTTTCTGGGACCAATCTAGCGTGTAAAAACAGAATTACTTGTAGGTGTACTCTACACAATCACGCACCCATCCCTAGTTCTGCATGTGGCAAGGAGACAACACAAGATGCGCGCGTTTACAGCCCAGAAAGTGTTGCATGCTGTTGGGCAGTGGGTGTGGGAAAATGTTTTAGTTAGTGCTGTTGTTGTTGTTGTTGTTAGTGCTGCCAGTGTGGCCATGTAATTTGAAACACTTGTGTCAACGCGCTGCCAGAAGCAAGAACAGACCCGCACGCTGCCATTGTTGTTGTTGTTGCTGTTGTTGTTGCTGTTGCTGTCAGCGTCTTATTATCATCATCAGTGGCAGCTTTTGGCGGTTTTGTATATTTGTTGGGCTCCTTGCCTGCCAAATGACAGAAACACTACAAAGAGGTGGTGTTGGGGATGGGGATGGGGGTGTTGGTGGGGGTTGGTGGCAAGGGTGGAGGTCGATGACGATGACGATGACGACGTCAGCAGGGGTTTAGTGCAAGTTGTTGTTGCTGTTCGTGCTATTGTTGGGCCGCCGTACAGTGAAATTCACTTTGCCAAAAAGTTTTCATTTCATTAAAAAAGTGCCAGTGTGCGTGTGTGTGTGCGCGTGTGTGTGTGGTTTACTGGCAGGCGAGTAATTCATCAAACCAAATCCAAGAAAACTAGCGAACGGGCGAAGCTTTTTGCCTGCAACAGCAAGAGGAACAGCAACAACTGCAGCTGCTGAAAGGAAGTTGGCAAAGTCGCCAGTGTGCGGCAACGCTCGAGTTGCCTTTGGCCTTATCTTGCAAGTTGGCGCAACAAAAGCTGGCAAAAGATGTTGCACAGACATCGTAACAGAGCCGTCCGGGAGGAGATTGGAATGGGGGAAAAGGGGGGATAAGGCGCACATCGGAGCGTTGAGACGTTGGCCGGGTAAAGTTTTTAACCTTTTGCATATGCATGACTCGAGCGGCGAGCAGGAAGCCCAGCGAGCTGGCGGGGAGCAGAGTGCAGTGGAGAAGGTGGAGTCCACACTGTTTGGAAGTTGATGAAACGTGGCGTCTGCTGCCAGGCCATAAGCACTCCAAATATACAAACACACACGCACACACACACACACACACACACCTACACACACATGATTGTTGTGAGAGCTCAGGGAACTGGTTCGGAATGCAAAGTTCAAATATTTGTAAAGCTATGCGTATTTAGAAAAAATCTTATTTAACTTCAATATTGTAGTTGACTTTAATAAGATCCTCCGGTCTATTTAAGTTGTGGATCAAAGTGCCAGCCCATTTTTGTTTTAATTTGATTTAAATACAAATCTATTTATGATGACAAAGCACGGTTGTCTTGCAGCCAAAGAAAAAAGGGACAAGGAAGTTAGCTGAGATGGAGCGAACTCTGGTTTTCATTGCAAATAGCACAGATGAATGAAGTATTAACTGCACACAAGACGAGCCTTCAAAAGTCCTCTTAAGTCACCGATTTTTTTAATTTTTTTTTGTATTTTTTATTTTTTTGAATATCCTGAGATCACTTTTGATTTTAATTGAAAATGTGTAATGGGTGAATGGTCACATTAAAAGAAGAAGTAGAAAGTAGGGATGTAAGTCGAAGGGAATATATCGATGCATATGTCCAGCGATGTGTCTTTAGAAAAAACTATGCATCGCAAAAAAATCCTTGCATCGATGTTTTAAAAAACTTTCCTTAGAAAAAGCTGCTCATATTAGGGAGAAAATCAACAGAGATGTTTCAAAACAAACACTTTTTTTTTAAATCCAAAGATGCTGTCATAGTATTTTACTTAATGTTCTTAACCAATAAAGTAGTCGTAATCCTGACTTTTCATGAATTTGTTTATGGTTCTCTTGGAAATAGTCTCATCATATACAGTTTTAAAAACAAATCCATCCTACATTTTAGGCATATTAAGTGCGACATTACCAACAAATCAAAATAAAGATCAAATGTGCTCAACCATCTAAAATATATAACAAAAAAAATACAGACGAATTGATAAACTCCTCCTTTTTGAAGATACATATTTCAATGAAAACATAAAAAAATACAAATATACCTTCTAAAGTAATGTGACCGGCCAACAAAACATGAACAATGTTCGATGTTTGCACAAATATCAATGGATCGGCGCTGCAAGACATCGGAAAACATCGATGCATCTTGTTAAGAACATCGTCGATGCGCGATACAACGATGTTTTTTAAGTCCCTAGGAGAAAGGGACAAACTGTGAGGGAAAATAAAATAGCAAAATAATGAAGCAATCTGAAATCTGAAATAGAATTTAAAAACGACACCCAGCTTAGATACTTTAAAATGTATATTCACTTTCGAAGACTTAAGAGCCTTAGGGTCGATGAAGTAAAACATTTCAGAAAGGAACAAGCAGCTGCGCTATAAACTATATGTTTAATGATAATTAATTCGAATTAGTTGGCAGCTGTTGTGGAGAAGACTTGCTGCTAGGTAGTTCTCAGAGCTGTGCAACTCATGCGTTTAAAGCGACACAGCTCTGTGGCAAACACACACACACACACACACACAGAGACACACACACAGACACACACACTCGAACATGCTTGCATATACTTGTATGTTTGCCAACTGATTGTTGCGCCTTCACTTGCCTGCTGGCTGTCAGCTTGGCTGAAAAATGTGTTGCAGCCGGCCAGGCGCGTTAACGTTGCCGTTGTACACACATATACATATACATATATATACTTGTATGCATATATATGTAGATAGGCACACACACGCGAAATGCTTGTACACAAGTGCTTGTGCTCGCTTGTTTTGCATTGGAATGTCAAATTGAATGACAAGTGTGTGTGCTGCGCAAAATGTAGCATTTAATTTGCATAAATTATGTGTACTTACTTAATTTTTGGCATTTGCTGGCGGCGCAACTTTCGATGTGAACTGCACAAAAAGTAAAATAAAATAAATCATACGCCATGGCGGTTGACAAGACGAATCTCATTTGGGCGCAGATGATGACAACCGAGTTACTCAGTTACTCAGTTACCCAACCACCCCCAGCCCAATGCCTTCACCTTCTCACACCTAACGAGAAAATAAACCTCGCATAAACCTTGCCACTGATTAATGTCAACCAAAGTCAACAGAGCAGAAAGGGGCTAAGAAATTTTTGACCAGGCCGGGGATTGGCGTTTTTATTAATTGATCTTTTTTCTATCTTGGAGGGGCAGCGCTCAAACGAAAGAAAACAATAATTAATTGATTGAGGAAATTGGTTTTATAATTAAAAACCTGATACCAAAAAAAAAGGTGCCATCATTTTAATGAGTGTTGCCTTCAAGTCCTTGCTGGCTTCAAAGCCACAATTGAAACAGAAACAGAAACAGAAACTGAAATTGTGCAACAAACTAAATGAAGAAGAAGCAAGCTGCCAACAATTTGAGTGTAGAGTGTGCAAATTGTTACTAAATAGCAGGCTAACGAGTGAGTGGCTGCCTAATCCCATTTGGGATCAAAGACTAAATGCTGGCCGGTGCAAAGAAATTGTGGCATACATTTGATTTCCGAATTGAGAAATTTCAAATGAAATCCATGGCTTCTTGATAGCAACAAGCAACAAAGTCGCAAATGAATCGCTTTAAAATAAAACACAACACTGTGCAGCTTAAAAAGTTAATGCTTTCGAAGCGTAGCAAAATAAATATATTGAAATATTTTATATTTCTTCGAAATATGTACTAAGCAATCATCAGGAATTAAACATTTAGAAAATATGACTATTCTTTATTGTAGTCACTCCATCCTTTCTGGTTTATTTAAATGCTACTGTACTTTTTTCTTTGATTTGCAAAATAAAGTAATGAAAAATTGAATTTGAAAAATTGTCAGTTGCGAGGCAGTGGGACCGCAAACTGTTGGCATTTAGTCGCATCGAAATGCATTTAAATTCAATTGTTGTCTCGAATACTCACACACACACGCACGCACGCAAGCACATAGATACACACACACACACACAAGCACACACACATACTAGATGGGCTAAAATTAAACCTTAAGTGCCTGAAACGCTTACAATCGCACTAAACTAACTGTAAATGGGAGACCATAAGTACACACACAAGTTAAATATAAATATTTATCAATGTGTATATATATACATATATATATATACTTTGTAGGTATGTAGATATGAATACTCAATACTCACACTGCAATTTTATGGCGCGCCCGAAAGTAGCAGCGCATCCTTTGCTCTGTGTGGCTGTGTATAGTGTGTGTGTGTGTGTGTGTGTGTGTGTGTGTGTGTGTGTGTGTGTGTGTGTGTGTGTGTGTGTGTGTGTGTGTGTATAATTTGTTATAAACAATTCAACATTTGCAACTACAACATGTGACTGTGTCGGGTGCAATGTTTATGCGTGGCCTGAAAATTGTGGGTTTCGATTCAAAAAAGTTCCTAATTGCGACTCTGAATTGTGATTTTTTTCAATCAGCTGGGAATATTTTTTTCAAAATGCTTTTAAGGTTAGACTCTCTAATAAACTGAACTGAAAAAGTTAAGTCTGTAAGTTCGAAATTGTACTTGAATAGAAGAGAGAAGAGAAAAGTAGGGGGACATGGGACGGGAATACCATTTCATCATTTTATTTGAAGAATCTAAATAAATTCAACATATATAGGGCAAGGAGAGAAATAGGGGGAAATGGATAGGAAATAGATGCGCCACCATTTCTTCATTTTATTTCGGTATCTTAATAAATTTATCATAAATAGAGAGAGGAGAAGAAGGAGGGAAAGAGCGCTACCTTTTCATCACTTCATTTTAAGAATCAAAAAATGATTTGAACATAAATAGAGAGAAGAGAGAAATACTTTGCAATAGGAGGGGAATACCTTTTCCATCATTTTATTTGAAGAATCAGAAAACTAAATTGAACATTTCACAATCGCTCACGATTTTCGGACAACGCATAAACATAGCCTGTGTTTCTTCTTTTTTTTTTGTTGTTTTTTTTTGTTTTTTACTCGACCCGGTCCTGGACCCGGGGTGTGAACGCCTGCGCCCCAAGCTGAAGCTGAAGCCGAAGCGCGTATTATAACAGAGTGAGGACTGCCAGTGCTGTGCACAAAGTTGCCGCTAAGCCCGGCCAGAGCGACAAACCCATTAAGAGAGAATGTCGCAGCCAGCGATGGTGTCGCTGATAGTGGCCTAGGGCCCAAGCCCAGGGCCAGGGCCGTAGCGTCGTTGCGCCATTGGAGCCGAGCTCGTTGTTGTCCATGGCGCCGCGCACTTCCGTCTTTCCGGCCCCATTGGGGCCGCCCCCATTGCTGAGGCCACCGCCGGCCCCATAATAGGGCGGCTTACGTGTGATGCCTGAGCCTCCGGCACCACCCGAAACACTGCCGATGCCATTGCCGAAATCCAAATCGATGCCGCTGCCTCCATTGCCACCGCCGTGTGTCTGCTGGTGATGATGATTGTGATGGTGGTGCTGTTGTTGGTGCTGGTGGCCGCCACCACCGCCACCACCACCTCCGCTGCCCGGCTTATGGGTGGGTGGCTTATTCCCGTTGTTGCCGGTGTAGTAAACATGCGGCGATAAGGCAAAGTCGCCCTCCTCGAAATCCTCCGCCGAGCCGTACAGTTCCTCATCCTCCGGCTGGTAGGTGACTTTGACTTGTTGTTTTAGCTTTAAAATGTCATTGGCATCCGCATCGCTGCCAGGGCCTGTGCCGCCAGCGCCGCCGCCCGCTTTCCCAGACGTGGGATTTTTACGATTCGGACCGGGTATTTCTGTCATATGCGGAGAGAAAAACAGATACAGAGAGTGAGAGAGAGAGCATGTAACGGCCAGGATGTTAACGGTAACTGTGCCGGCAACGGTAATTGAAACAAAGGTGCGAACGCAAAATCCACACTCCCATTTTGCAGAATGCCAGAGCATATCCGCCATGTGTCGTCGACGCGTCGCGTTTATTGTTAAAAAAAAAAAAGTAGCGTGGGGCGGGGGCGCCCAACATGGGGCCAACAACTTACCGTACAACCGTATGCTGCTGTCAACCTCTCCAAGTGAGTTCTTCGCTATGCAACGATACGAGCCCACATCATCCTTCTGGAATTTGCGAACAATCATTGTCATTTTGGTCTCGTACATGGATTTCGACGCCTCCTGCACATGGTATTTGCCCGAGGAGACAATCATTTCACCTGTTGATGGTGCGAGAATAAGAAAAGGAGCAGCAGCAGCAGCAACAAATTGGTATTAGCAGATAGTATATTGTAGCTTGTGTAAGATAACAATGGATATAAGTATATTGGAGATATTTGCATTTTCAAAAACCTACATAAAGAGCTCATGTCAAATCACTTGAGTCTGGTGTGTCTTAGTCTGTGAAACACTGGGGACTTTTTGGGTTTTGCGTTGTGCCATAACTTCTTTGATGGTCCGATGACAGATTATTAGCTTAAAGCACTGGAAAACGAAAGACACACTACCTGGCCTAGTCGAATTTTGTCTTATTTCTTTGTTTAAGATCTGTCCTAGGTAGGACAAGTATTAAGTAGTACAAGTATTATAACCTTGAAACTGGTCTTTCTTAAGAAAGCAATTGTCTGCTACGACCTTTAAGATTTCATGCCATTTCATTTCCATTTGTTTTTAGATCTCAGCGCACCTTGAAATTACATTCAATGACAGCCATCGGGAACTCTCATTTCTATTCAGTCTTTTGTACATTCAACAACAATTTTTCACCCCGGAATATATTTTTGTACGCTTTCTGCAAAACTTCTACAAAAAGGTCCATAAAATAGGACCAAAAATAAAGCAAACAATAGAGGTAAGTGGAGCACACAACGATGCCAATATAGAAGAGGCGTATCAGATGAGCAACGCATTCCTTTCAGTACCGATTTATAGCGCTTGGAAGACCGGAGGAAACTATTTGCCATTCTATCAACTGGACAAGACTGCCTTGCCCGCTCTGGTGAGTTAATTAACTATTCTAAATCATGGCATAATGCCACCGATTTCGTTCGTTGGAGCGAAAGAGCGTACTTGTGTTGTGAATTGGGATCGGAATTAGGATTAGAATTGGTTTAGGCAGTGATTGGGTAATAGTTTAAGTTATGGGTAGAGTCGAACAGGATGTTTGCCAAATGCCAAGATTAAATGTCAAATGTGCGTAATGCAGTTAGAGAAGGCGACTAAGGACTACAGACAACAACAACAACAACAATAACAACAATTGATGTGACAAGGTGGGAATGCAGACGAGGACAACTCGTAGTAGGACGAAGGTTATGGCTTGTTTGCAAAGGGGTGGTGGTAGTGCTGTGAGGGGGGTGGGGGGATGGTTGATGCCTACTTATGGTCATGTAATACATTTGCTGCTTAATGATTGAGAAAACAACAACATCAAGAATAACAACAGGCATCCAGCCAAGCAGGCGAGCAAACAAGCGGCCAGGCAGGCAGGCAGAGAGGCGGGGGAGGAGGAGGAGGTGGGCGAGCAGGCGTTGAAACAGATACTAAACTTGCTGTCTGCAGAAGCGACACACACACATGCATTTCACTTCATGAACTCACACACACACACACACACATAGAGAGATGTTCATTGAAGCATTAGAGTGGCAAATGAAAACTAAACATTGAGACATTAGTGCATGAGACGACCGAATTTATGCTTTGTGGCAAATTTATAACGCGCTCTTCATGCTCATCAACAACCAGCATAGAGAGATGCCAGTCCTTGCTGCCATTGCTGTTGTTGTTGTTGTCGTCCTTTTAATGTGTGTTGACATTTATTTTCATCTGTTTGCCAACAACAAAACCTACTACGATCTCGCTCGCTAAAAGGGAAATACATGGCACTATATTTTCTAGAAAAAAACCCCAAAAATTCCAAAATTTCTTTAGTAGTCCTGCAAGCTACAGGCTAGTTAGTTGAGTGGAATGTGCAGGATTTAATCTGTTCCCTGAGTGACAGCTACTAAGAAGTTAGGTTCTAGACATTTTCTGAATAGCACTGTAGAGCCAAAGACAGAACGAAGAGCGCTAAAAGGGAACTAAATTTCAGTACATTTTCTAAAAAAAACTCAAAATTTTGTTAGTAGTCCTGCAAGCTTATACAAGTAAAAACTATAATCTAGTTAGTTGAGTGCAATGTCCTTAGTAGCTAGACTAAGAGCTTAGCACTTAGCCAGCCATTTTCTCAATAGTATCGTAGAGCTAAGACACCCTCACAGAAAGGGAAATAAATTTGTTACTCCAACTTGTTAAAAAGGCTCTCCATCTAATTGAAGGTTCTTCTTTCCAGCTCTCATTTACAGTCCTATCTTGTTAATGGTATTGTTAAGTATACTTAGCTTTCTGCTAGATCGATCCTACGTCTTGTACGATATGACAATCCTTTAGAGATTCAAATGCGGCTTTTCGGACTAATTCATTAATTCATAAATTTTTGAAGTAAAACTTCTCACCTGAGTGAGGTTTTCGAAAGCTAGATCGGCAACCATCTGTGGATGGATTTTTGACTGATTTTCTACGCTTTCTTCTCTAGCTACTTATAATTGTTTTTGCAGCCATTTTCTAGCAGGTTTTCTATTTTTTGTTAGCTTAAGCGGTTGTCTAGCGCAATAGCCGAAAGCGATAGGCATTTCGTAGCCTTTTTTTTCAAGTGAAACTTACATTAGTAAGTCAATCTCAATCACCAATCTCAAACAAAAATGAACTAAAATTAACCATTAAGTTATACAACATCTTGACACATATTCCCATGCAGGACTTTTTACACACATATTTACATAATTAGCTCTGCTGCCTTTGCCCATGGACTGGGAGTCGAACGATAAGATAGAGTCTAATTACTTGTAGCTTGGAAGGCACAATTTTTTCTAACCATAGCTTAAAACAGATTTAAAATCATAACTTTCGACAAATTGGAGCTTAAAATAGCGCCAATAAGATGGAGAGTCGGCTCTTCTTGTGCCTCTGCTGCCACTATGGCTGTGGCTAATTGAAAAGTTGCCGCAACAACATTCTTGTCTGACTTTAATAATAATTGCATGTTGTTGCATACGCACAGGCGCGCACACATGAACGGGCCAGTTGCAGCCGAGGTGGTAGAGCAGCAGCAGAGCTGTTGGCAAGACGGGCAGGACAGAGGGGGGACAGGCAGGCAGGCAGGCTGGCTGGCTGGCAGGCATCAACAAATCACTGCAACTGTTGTTGGTCAGTGGCACGTCTATGTAAATTATTTTTAGTAGCATACTTTACGGCGCAAAAGTTCAACGAGCAGCCGAGACCAGTAGTGGCCACTGGGCTCGGACAAACGTGCCGCTCTGACAACTGACTAATGACAACGGCAGCGTCGCCTGCGATGACGTCGTCGTCGTGGCTATGGACGAGGACGAGAATGAGGATGGGAATGGAAATGAGGACGATGGTCGCACATGCTGCCAACGTCCATAAAATGCCAAAGTAATGATGCGATGCGCTTGCCCCAAAACGGACGACAGCTGCACATACACAGATACACTCCAATACACACACACACACACACACACGGAGAGATACACGCACATATGAACTTACCCGTATCCTTAATCCAGTAGTTAATTGATTTGGGCGAGGCCTCAACGTGACACTCGATTTGAACATCAGTGCCAAGCGGTGCGCCAACTAATTGATTCGGCACTTGTATGACAGGATGAACTATATATATAAGGAAAGAGAGAGGGAGAGAGAGGCAGAGAGATAGAATATACATACATGTAGATAGATGTGTATGCGATTATCAAAATTATTTTCAAACTCATACATATTACAACTTATGTACATAGCTATTCCTTAGTTGTCAGTCTAAAGACACGTCATCCAACGATTTGTACAACACATACTCCTTCAAAAAATAGTGCTTTCCTCTTCAATTTCTAATCAAACTTTGAATCCCAGCTGCAGTTCAGAAGGAGACTACAACCAACCATCTAATCCATATCAAAATGCTGGCATACACCAAGTTGCTGGCCGACATGGGCCAACAGCTGAGCTTGAGCGCCCGTACTGGCATACTGCCCGCCGGCTTCCGTCCCACACGCAACACCTTGATCTGTGCCGGCGCTACGGCAGCCGCTTGTGTAGCCCTTGGAGCTGCAGTCAAGGCTCTGCGCCGTCGCAGCGATGGTACCCTGAAGTCCATAACCAGCTCCAAGCTGGCCGAAGAGCTACCAAAGTCGAAAAGCTCAGCAGCTGCTGCTGCTGCTGCCACTGCTGGAGGTGCTGGTGGTGCTGGTGGTGCTGGGGAGCCGGATCCGGCTTTTGTCAACTGGCGCCGTGTGGAGGACACCTCCGATTGTGACTCTGATATCGATTGTGATGTGCAGCCGAATCCGAATGCCAACGCTCGTGAGTTAATTGAGAAGAGCATTGAATTACAACTCAAATAATGCCTCCCGCCAGGTGTTAAGAAGGCATACTATATACTCCCCGGATCGACCCAGTCAGAGCCACAGTAATGCGGGCATAGGCCTTGGAGTCCTTGCAGTCGCTCTCAAGTAATATATTTTTAATCCGTTCCCCGTTATATGTCGTTGTGCCTGCTGCCGATCACAAATTTCAAAAGTTATTTCCGGTCTATTCTACATCTAAATTTCTTACGCTTGTTTTGGTTTTGGGAGTATCCTTAACACTATCCTATACTTTGACGCCTTGGAGGCCCTTCAGTCAAGCCCATACATATCCAAAGCACTTTTCGGCCGCCACGGCACAGCGATTTTCTTTCAAGATTTCGTTCAAGTTCGCACAAATTTCTTCGTTAACAAGCAACATAAAGAAAATGGAGCTCCATCAATAATACCTACCTATAATATGCGTCCAATAAAAATATATAACATTCGTGCTTTGAACTGGTTGCTTAAATATTTGTAAGCCTCCCCCCTCCCCCCAGGCGAATGGGAAATAGAAACGTGGAATTTTCAAAATAGCTTCGCGAGATAAAGCATATACGACTGTATATAACTGTATTGTTGTTAAAATAAAATAAATCAGAGCTCCACATCATATATGCGATAATGTTGTGTGCGTTTAAAAGACTTTGGAAGAACAATTGTGTACAAGCATTAATTAGCTTAGGTCCAGTAAAAACTTATTCCATTTAGTAAGTTTTTTCTTTGTATGCACATGCTATATGAAGTATTGAAGGATTCCTTTATGGCATTCAAAATGTCCTTTCCACGCATTGCGAGCTATAGATCGTTGTGATGAGGGACCACAAATTTTCCATTTTATTTTGGCAGTAAATAGTTTTCAGCAGATATTTCAAATTAGTGTTGTTTGCAAAAATTTAACAATTAGTCAATTATATGTTTAAAGTTCTCATGGACTTTTTGTTCCTGTGAACAAACAAACTAACAAACTAACTGGTAGAATATTTCTACTCTGCATCTTTGAACTTGACATCGACTCTTCTGGTCGTTTTGTGTCAGCTTTCGAGCACTCCAATTACTAATTCATTGGGTTTTACATCATTGTGTTCTGAGAGTTATCCAAAGCTACAATAAAAAATTTACGTAATTTGTGCTTCTTGTTGTGTTTTAAAAATAATTGATATTGCGGTTTCTTTGATTTTGTCCAAAAGTTTTGTTGTACAAACGTTTTCGAAACTGCACTTGTTTTCGACTGCGATTCAATCGTTTCGGAGTTTTGTTTTTTATTTTTTCAAATTTATTTTTTTTTTTATTAATTTGTTTCTGTTTTTTTTTTCCTTGATTTGACTCGGACTCGGATACTCGGCTTACGGATTTGTGATTGTTTTGGACTTTGACTTGGATTTCTGATTTCGGATTCTTGGATTCGGCATCTAGCCACATTTCGCAGCTGCGATTGATTTCTTGGTGTCCTGGATTTTGCGTGTACGTATATTTTTTCAAGATCTCTTTAGTCTTTTCTAATGGTTTTAAGTTGTTATTGTATTTGCATTTTTTTGAACTTGATTTGACTTCGACGTACGTTGCGGACCTACGAAATTATCAGATTGTGTTCCACCTGGATTCTGATTGCTTTTGGACTCCGACTTGGACTATTCCATTGCGCATATATTAGTTTTGAATAATTATTTGAAGTTTCAGAAGAGCATTCTTCGATTTTCAAACTTCATTGTGCAACATCTTGGGGGTGAAAAGTTCGTAACTTTCCAGGTAGGTATTTCGTGGAGCTATCCAGGGCTTACTTATAATGTTGTCTCTTTAATTCGTACTACAGATGACTAACGATTGGACAAATTTAAAATACCGCAGCGTGCTGACCGATGACGACGGCGATGAGTGGACCGTCGGCTTTCCGATCGGCAAAGGGGGGTTTGGACACATATATGCGACTCGACGCTTGGGGAAGCGGATTTTCGATGCAGTCGTCAAATGTGAACCACACACCAATACGACGCTGAGCACTGAGATCGATTTCTATGCCGAGAATGCCAAGATCGAGGACATAGAACGTTACGAAGAGGAGCATGGCATAGAAACTCTGGGCATGTCTTACATGCTGGGCCACGGCTCTAAGGTTATTAATAATCAGAAGATTCGATTCCTGGTTATGCCATTGCTAGGAACAGATCTGAATATTATGTGCAGATCAATAGACACTTGGATTCCAAGGGGAACAGTGTACCGCATTGCAGTGCAAATACTGCACGTCTGCGAGTATATACATGGCAGGGGCTATATACACGGCGATCTGAAAGAGGCAAACATTATTGTGGGCACAGCCGATGCTGGCCAAGCATATTTGGTAGACTTCGGCCTGTCCACCAAATTGGTAACTGGTGCCTACGTGGAAAGGTTCGAGTATATGCACAGGGGAACCGAGCCATACACGTCGCGAGACGCTCACAGAGGGGTCTCAACGAAGCGATCAGATCTAGAAATGCTTGGGCTTTGCCTAATGCATTTGCTGGGCGCCCATTTCCCATGGGAGGCCAGCCAGCTGAGACCCAATGAGATCCGCGACTGCAAGGTGCAAACAATGTCCGATATGTCTAAGGGACTGAAGACATTTTTCCCAAATGGCGCACCTCTGCCTATAGCGAAGTTTATGGAATACGTTAACGGGCTGACTCATCTCCAGACACCAGATTACGAGAAATGCCGTAAAATGTTCCTCACCGAACTCAAGAGGTTGAAAATACCAAACACCGGAGCATTGAAGTTTCCATCGCCCAAGAAGAGAGGCAGGAAGAGGAAGAGAGAAGACGATACTAACTAATGGGTGGTTCCTCTGCCAGCAATATAAAAATATAATCTTCTATATAATATTTGTATTCTCATTATGCTATCGGGGTCATCAAACGATAATGAGCTGCTCGAAGCTAAGCTCCTATATATTTTATATAAAATTCATGTGTTAATGCTGACTTCGTTTGAAATATATGTATATAATTAACTATTTGATCAACAAAATATTAGGCAGCTTAGCTGTTCTTATACTACAAGTATACACTGCACACGAAAGGTTAAAAGGGCATATTAGGTTTGTGGAAAGCATGTAACGGAAATAAGAAAGCATCTCTTAATCAGCACATGCCGAGAGAAAACGGTCTAGACATGTCTGTCTGCCCGTCCGTCTGTTCGTTTGTCTGGATTTTTGAAAAGGCTGAGCCCGCATTGCCCAAACCTGGTATGTAGACTATTATTATGCCCAGACAGCACGAGTTTATTTAATTTCTTTATATTTTTCGCCTGCTACAGAATTTTGTTGCTACTGCCCATTTCTCTGAAGCTACATAAACCCAACTTTGTACACGTAAGTAATATTTTATTCTTTTCTATTGTAGATAATAGAGAATCAAGTTCACTCCACTCTGTACATGAAATGTACAAAAATATATGAAATTTGCGGGCAATTAAAAATGTAACAGTCAGAGGGAGAGCGTGGCAGACCCCACAAAGTGTAATTCTTAATAAGTATGACAAGACGAGTCGATCTAGCCCTGCCTGTCTGTCCGTCCGTCTGTTCGTTTGTTCGTCTGTATGAGCACCTGGATCATAGAGACTATAATAGCTAGAGGCATCAAATTTTGTACACATATGTCTTTTGTGTGTACGCAGTACGAGTTTGTTTTATTATACTCTGTACATGAAATATACAAGAGTATATTAGGTTTGCGGGAGCTGAAAATGTAACAGGCAGAAGGAGGCGTGGCAGACCCCACAAAGTATATATATTCTTGATCAGCATGACGAGACGAGTCGATCTAGCCCTGTCTGTCTGTCCGTCTGTCCGTCTGTCCGTATGAACACCTGGATCTCAGCGACACAAAGATGCGTTATATGTGTACGCTGTGCAAGTTTGTTTTATTTTTTTGATTTCCCCCCCACTTCCCCCCTATGGGGGTTTTCCCGATTTTCCATTCATATAATCCTATATCTCGGAGACTATAAGATCTACGGGCATCAAATTTTAGTCACAGATGCCAGATGGAATATCCCTCCCTCCCCCCTCTCCCCCGCAAATCGCGATTTTCTCTAACTCCCGTAATTCTTGGAATTTCGAACTAATTTTGGAAATACCCCCAGTTAGTAATTATGTGTCCGTATGCCAAGTTTCACCAATCGATCAAAAATTTTTTTGTAATTCTCTTATTTTTTTAAATTTATATAATTGTTCTAAACATATGTACAGAGTATTTCAAAGTCGGGTCACCCGACTTTAGCCTTTTTTCTTGTTTTTTTATGAGCCCCACACTTGCCCTCTCCCTCCTTTTGGGGACTGTCCGTTTCGTTCGTATGCCAAGTTTCATCATGATAGGTCAATATTAAAGGAAGCTACAGTTGTGTATTAGCCCTAACATCACATTTAACGTGCATAGTGTAGGATACCAAAGTTTAAGGTTTAATGAGCTGAAATGTTGCTATAATGTTAGAGCCCCTCCATGGTCAGCAAGATTGTTGAGCAGCGCGCCTAAAAGAGAGAGCTATACTCGCACGTACGAGTTCTCGTACTCGTACTCGTTCGTACGAACCGTTTAATGAGGATGTGGATGGGGATGTGGGGATGTGGGGTGCGTGATTGGATGGGGCCCCATCTCTAAGGGCGACAATGACGCTGATGCATCCTGACCGAGCTATGACCAAAATTTGTGGTTTGTAAAACTGCCAAAGCTGTAGCTGGAGTTCATGCAAGTTTAGAGATTGCATTGTCCGTCTGTGTATTGGTGTGCGTGTGTGTGTGCGAGACATTTGTGGCCATGTGCAGCAGGTTGCACGTTGCAGGTTGCAACAATGTCAGCCTCATCGTGTGTGTGTGCTTGTGTGTGTGTGTGTGTGTGTGTGTGTGTGGATGGCATGTCAGTCGACAGTTTTGTAAGTTTGAACGATTTTAATTGATTTCCATGGACGACTGCATCTGTCTTATCTATCAACTATCTATTTGTGGACAAGGACAATGTCTAGAAGTACCTTCTTCCTGTCGATGCGCGTGTCTGTCTGCATGTACATGTGTGTGTGAGTGTGTGTGTGAGTGTGTGTGTGTGGATGATTTAATTGAAATTCTGAAGGGCCATGCCCAGCTGTCAATTTGTAACACTTTAAGCTGCCAGCCCCGATCACTGATCAGACTAGGGCCTCACAAATATTGCGCATACGCCATGTTGGCCACAAGACGCAAGGACAAACTCGAGGCTCGAGCTGAGGGCAGTAAAGGCAGCAAGACACAACTAGCGCCTGCGGTCATTGCGAAAATTGACATATTGCTCACGCACATGCCTAAAGTGTTGAAGTCAGTCAGTACAGTCAAGCCTCGGTATGAATTCCACACTTTGCATCTTTTTTTTTTTAAATTTCTTTAAATTTTCTATTTTTCTATTTAGCGCATGTATCATTTTAATATTCATTTTATTAGAATGCACAGTCAAGCCTCGATATGTGCAAATTTCCAGTCTTTGCAGTTTTTATGCCCTTTTTTAAATTACCTTATATTTTTCATTTATTTACATCAAATTTATATTTTTATTATTCAATTTATGATAGAATACAACAGATTTAAAAACAGTCCATTAAGATTGCAGTTTGCTTTAAGATTTCTTTTCAATTAGGCAAATAATTCCAAACTATCCGAAACGTAGTCATTTCTGCAGTGGGGATCTGTTTGTGACCAATATTCATAACACAACTTTATCAAAAATTCAGTCAGTTGGGGTTCATTTATTTATAAATTGAGACAAGATCGTAACTTGAATGACATTAGCGTTCGAAAATCAAATTTCGAGTATTGCTAAGTACCTGAACGATTGTTTATGTAGAAATAGAATAGTATAGGGGGGTTTGAAAACGATTTTAAAAAGTATTTTCAAGACTGCTTTCACTTTCGAAAATACATTTGAATATATTTTTTCGAAAACGTTTTTAAAAAGTGCTTCCAAGACTGTTTTCAAATTGATTGATTGTTTATGTATAGAGGTTCGAAAACTGTACCCAAAGGGTACAAGGGTATATTAGTTTTGTGCGAGTGTACATGAAACACACAGAAGGAGGCGTGGCAGACCCCACAAAGTATATATATTCTTGATCAGCATGACAAGCCGAGTCGATATAGCCATGTCCGTCTGTCCGTCTGTCTGTCCGTCTCTCTGTATGAACGCAAGGATCTCAGAAAGTATAAGAGCTAGAATAACCAAACTTGGTATACAGATTCCCCTGAGCCCGAGAAAGGGCGAGCTTGTTCATTTTTTCTTTTTAATCATTTTTTTTTTTTTTGTGGGGTGGTACAGGGTATTTAAGAGTTGAGCCTGCTCGACTTTAGCATTCCTTTCTTGTTTAAACAATGTTTTTAGCACTGCTCTGAAAGTATTTTTTTTTTTCAAATAATTTCGTTTGGTCATTGATCATTTGTTTTTATGAAAATAATAAGTAGGCAGTAATTTAATTGATCGAAAAAGTTGTCTTGAAATATTTCACAATACGAAAGGTTCTGAATTGGAGGACTACTTTGTGGTTGAATTCCTTTGTGCTTCTATATTTGTTTATTGCTAAGGAAAATTATAAAGTGATATGCATATTACAAGTATGAAGCTTTCTTGTGCCAAGTTTTCTTCAATGCAGTTTTCCGAATAAATTAGGGATGCTTGACTGTATTTGGTGGGCTTATGTCAGAGATGCAGCTGGCTGCGAAAAAGGAGCAGCAGCAATGAATCAAGCGCCTGGTTGCTTTGTCCGTCCGTCTGTCTGTCCGTGTGGCCGTGTGTCTGCCGGCTGGTCCGTCGGTGCGTCGTTCATGTGGTTGCTGGCTGCTTGACCATGCATGAGTGCTGGTTGACTGCGTCTACTTTTAATCCACACAACAGCAGACCAACGCACACACACTAGACTGAATCCTGGCTACATTTGTACACTTTGCATTATGGCCGCTCCAGATCCCGCTCCTCCTCCAATAGCCCTACTGGCAAACACTTTCGCTTGCGATTTGCAATTTTGCCATGATTATTCCGAGCATGTTTCTCCAGCTCCAGCTCCAGTTCAAGCCTTAGCCCGGCCACTGCAACTGCCACTGCCACCATTGCCACTGCTGCCACTACTGACACTACTGCTGCTGGCTCAGTTGCGGCAAACAAAGCCACAAATATGCACTAATGACGTCGTCGTCGTCGTCGTAGTCCTGCAACTCTGGAAGTCTGAAGAGCCACCGCTCCACCGCTGGACGCAGACAGGCAACTAGCACAATGCACACGCACCTTGCCATTGTGTGTCGATGTGAAAGGTGACAGCATTGGGGCTACAGTTGCCACAGAGCCCAGTGACGTGTGTTTTTCAGCTCATTGGCAGCGCAAATAGAGCGACAAGCAACCGAGCAACCGACTGACTGCCTGACTGCCTGACTGGCTGACTGACCCGCCCACCCAATGACTGGCCATAGTTAAGCCTTGCTATACCCTCGCCAACGAGTCGCATGCAATTTTCACGAAGCATGCGACTTCAAAAAATTAACGCACGCCCTTTGTTTGTTACTTCGCTTCATAAGTAATCAGTAAAGTTCGATTATTTTTGCACCAATAATCTATAAATAAAGAAGTTTATTTGATTTGAAAATGAAAGTATTTACATTCACAACCAAATTGGTTAAAGTATACTGAATTTCCTAAACTCAGAAATCAGTACAGTTCGCTTCATAAATAATCAGTTAAGTTCAATTATTTTAGCACCAATAAGAAGATTATTTGATTTGAAGCTGTTAAGTATTTACATTCACATCCAAATTGGTTAAAGTATACTGAATTTCCCAAACTCAGAAATCAGACAGTTCTCTTCATAAATAATCAGTGGTTAGATTTTTTTGCACCAATAAAAAATGTCGGACTTTTTAATTAAATTTAGTTGCACTTTAAAATCTTTACTAT